CTGACCAGATTAGTTTTAGTGAACTCATCTAGCTGAAGGCGCTCGGTCATGCATCCTCGCCAGATCACGTGTGGGAACGCCTTGCTCAACATCTACTGCAATCGCTAGCCAGGCTAGATCAGACAATTCCGATATATTGGCAATCGTCAAATACAACTTCTGATCTTCTCGATTCTGTCTTTTGGTTTCTCTTGGTGGGTACGAGTTATATTAGGTGTTACTGGTAAAAGCGTTGTCAAACACTGAATACTTGTGACATCTTCAGCACCAAGTACCTGCACTGGTCATACGTTAAGCTGCAAATCACCAGTTATTGTCATACGTCGCAATATAAATTGGTAGAATATCTCTATACTAAACCATTCTGTTCCATTATAATGAAAACTTGTCCAACTTCCAAATAATATGTACACAAATTTTCACTTTGCAAGTGTTGAAGATAAAGTCAAGCATTTTGATATCATTACATGTATTTTCCGATAAGTTATCGTTGTATTCTATCAGTTTGTCTTTTAGTTTATCAATACCCTCTTGCGCCCGATAATCCCATCTGGATTTGTGTCAAACCGATGTACATCTATGTATGGGACATATCATTTAGTAAGTGAATGTTACTTATAAGGACAAAGTCTTCACTGATGACTTCTCTTCAAGCCCTAACGCATAGTTTTATGCTTTCTTCATTCAGTGAGTTCGAGTTCATCACAAAAGGGCGTCCACTTAAGACATTTGTAGATGGCTCCCGATGATTAATATGAAGTTTCTCATTGGAAATGACACTCGTATGTTCAGCACCGATATATTAAACCAGCGGAAAAATACGTGTGAATGCTAAATATCCCACTTTTGTCGAACATACCAATAGAATGGTTTTCTTTATCCTTCGATGACCTTTCTCCAACTCCTATTTTTGCAATAGCATTTGCTGTTATGTGATTATTTATCATCACTTTCAATTTATTAACCTTGTCGTGGGCCTCAAAGTTACTGCATGTCCATTTTAAGGGATATTAAGTTATCATGATAAGTCTTGATTAGTGAAGTTGCCTGTGAGAATCCCAGCTTTGGACTCTGGAGATGCAGCTATGCCCTCAGAAATTCCCGGTTAAGCCTCGTCTTTTTAGGGACTCAGTTTTATACTTCTAAAAACGTCTATTAACAGATAGCCAATAATACTTAATGAGGTTTGTGATGCTTTTGGTTGTTGCCAGTCTATCATTTCTCTAGTTACATACCACTTTATCCGTCTGAAAAATCATTATCTTTAGGTTGGTTGAACCGATATAGTTGTCGACGATAATTACCCGAACTGAAGCTCACCTGTGGTGTCAGCTTGTAAGATAAATTTACGTGGGGAAAGGAGTTTTCGTAGTTAATTCATAGTGCCAATGCTTATGAGAAGCAATAGTAATACTGTGCACTGCTTCAAAAGTTACAACTAAGTGAGAAAAACAGACAAATCGTCAAGATATTGCATGTTATACCAGGAGTCTCTGACTTTCCAGAGGATATAAGATCAGTTGAATCAAGTTGAATTTCCCAATCTTATCTAAGGGTATAAAGAGATTATATCTTGTAAATTGCTTGAGAATTCATAGCTGCTTGTTCTTCCCCTGAATTTCTTAACGGCACCTCCCAAATGTCTACTCAGAGATTTCACATTGACTGACTTCAGCACCAAGCTGCCAGTGGTTGTGACAGACTTGGAACAACCCCTCCGTTCTATATACATAAAAAGGTCAGGGAAACAAGTGGATCTTTTCAGAAATAATAATATCCACACTCTTTAATCAAGAAAGCTATATTATCCCACTACATAAAACTCGCTCATCGTTATAGCTGATCTGGAGATATGGAATTAATATTGCAGTATACCTCTACCCAAAATATTGTTACTACAGCTTTCGTGTTGGTAACTACCTCTTGTTTCATCTATAGAAGAATCCAGGATAGCTCGAGGTCTACTTTTTCAAACACAGAAAGCTTTTCACAACTCAATCGGAAATAATACGGAATATAATTTCTACGCAAATAGGGGAGGAGGGTAAATAAATACTTATGCTGTAATGTTACGAAATTTTCAGGATGTTTTCGGACAACCATTTACCACACAAGTTATGTCATTACATTAGTGTCCTCTCAGAATAGATGTCCATAGGAATGCCGGATCAGTCAAGTTATTGAACAGAACATTTCACTTCGGTTTACGCAGCCTAATTGAGAATTACCAACTCGTTGAGTGTTTGGCCTTCTTACTTTTGTAACCAGTGGCGACCACCGCCCAATCAGTGTTCAGAGATAATCTATGGACGTCCTACACTTGCTATCTTATCTCGGCAGCATTTACCTTCTTTCCGTTAATTTTCTCATATGACTTACTGTATGTGTCCTTTACGCAGGAATCAGATCAAGTAAGAGAATGGGTGATAAAAAATGAAACAGTAATGCATGAGGAGGTGCCGTGTAGGTGAGGTACGACTTTCTCATGGTCTGTTCAAGTATCAATTGCGTAGCGGCAAATAAATCCCCAAGCTAAATAGTTTTATACGTTTCGACATTGATGCCGACCTCGTTAATTTCTCTGGACGCACCTTAACTGAAGGCACTCGTCCACGCATACGCACTAGGTCACGAGTGAGCACGCCGTGCTACACATCTCGAAACTAACAACCAGCTTAGACCATACGCTTCTCGTCATGTCCATCGCTTTCCAAGCATATTTTGGAACCCCATGGTCTCCCAATTCTGACTTGGATGACTTGGTATACTTTGATTAAAAAGGTGATGTGAGTAAAGGTGTTGTCGAACTCGGAATATCTGTGGCAATTTCAGGTGTTTAGTCACCTGCCTATTTAGCCATCCCAAATCCAGAAATAAATAATCCAGTTTTGAAGAACAAGTAGATAAATACAGTCAAACAAGAGAAATCGCTTTATTCTTCGTATAAAATGTCCAGATGCAAAAAGAAATGTGCATGTACGGGTGATAAATGTTCGGTTCCATATATATGTTTGGTCTCGCAGAGAATTTTGGTAACCTAGTAGGAAATAGATATGGTGTAGACATTGGGCACGAATGAGCGTTAAAACGGGAAGTTATATAAAGAAATAATATCACTGTGAATCTTCCAGGAGTTGGATCTATCACCTGATTTTGATTAAATACATAACCTTGAGTTAGTGATGAACGCTTTTCATAACCTCTTTTACAACTGCAGGCACTGAGTGTACGTCGACAAGGGATAATCGAAACATGAAAGGAAGAAGAAAGCAGCAAAAACACTCAAGATGAAGTCTTTGAGTCGGCGACATAATCGGAATCTTACTGACTAACCACTTGCCAAAGTTGACGTGAATATGCATATTATAGTAAAAAAGTTTTACTTTCTTTAAGTTACTCAAGAACTGGGATTTCTTCTATCCTACAAATGTACATCTAATACCAGCCGTAGGCATTGCTAATAATCGATCAAAATAAGAAAATATTACCGCCAGGACCACTGTGGAGGGATACAGCCATATCATAACCAACAGACTTGTCCATCGGTTGAGTATTCGACCTAGGAAGAAGGTGGTTCGATCGCGTGCCAAGTTGTTACTTCTGTACATGAAACTCGCTCCCACACACAACGTTCCCCGGCTCTAAGTTACTTAGACATAAGAAAATACAAAAAGATACGTTCGGTCGGAATGAGCGATCGATGCCTAAACCTAGGTGGCTTATATACTTTGTGTACGCCATCGTCTTTCTTTTCTTCAGCATGAAATAATAGGGAGGTTAAGTATTTGGGCTGTAATATTTTTCTGATTATCGAGATGTTTCTGGCCAACTTTTAGAAACCCATCTTAGGTTTTTTTCCCACTGATGGGGCAGTAACGAGTCAATCAGCCGTCGTTATATTTATGATTTTGATCTGACACACCGACATTTATTATGAAAACAGTTGATAAATTGGACGGATTCGAGCAGGTCACAAGAACATAATCAGGCAATTGACGTTACGAGTACTTCGTATAAATACAGACAGATTTCTTTGATAGCTGTACACCGGATCGCCGTAATGATGTAGGAAAAGCTAAGGCACCCCAAATGTTTGTCGTTTTGATCAGCAGTTTACACACGGAGAAGCATTTGAACTGTATTGTCTAGAACATGTAGATAATTGCGCAGACACATGATATTTACGTATATGTAGGATACTAAGTTTTTCGACATGTTTTCTGTTTGTACATTAGTACTTGTTGTGTCATACCCACTGAGCACGTTGTTACATAACAACTGATAATGCTTGAAGAATTTTGTTCATTTTGTGAGCCAAAAATATGTCAAAGAATTATTCCAAACGGGGTTTGAATTTCACCCCTTAAAGTTCATAATTTTCTTATCGGGCATCTCACTACACAAAACGCACCACATTGCACTTGTCCAAAAACAGAATGTGTTAATCTAGCTACAAATTACGTATACGGCAGTTTCTGCGTAAGTTTTGTTCATACTACAGGAATTTGAGAAAGTTTTGAAGTCGTATTTTGCCGAGTTAATCTCATACAATATATATTTTAGACAAAATGATCCATCAGTGATGCCATACGAAAGTTCTTAAGCCAGATATGAATGATCTGAAAAGCAATCGGCCATTGTATGAATCTTGGTTTTAAGAAAGCGAGGAACTAAGTTTAACATACTTATCATTAAACAAGAAGCCCTATGGAAAAAAGACATATATCAACATTATGAACTTCTTATATCGGGCAATCTTACAGATGGAGCATAAACCGTAAGATAGTCTATTGTTATTTGCCACAAAGTATGAGCTAAAACTGTTTAAAACGCGAGGAAATAAACAAAATAGACGAATTGCGGCGTTGAGATAAGAAATATCTATCCAAAAACGCACACGTTCCACGTGCGCATAAACGTCAGAAACTACTTTTTACAGTGCCCCTGATTCTGACGCGGAACACTTGAATTGTAAGATTACCCGCTGGTTTTGGAAGCGGCTGAACTATTTAATTCTACTTTTGATCCCAAGGTTATCTTAATCTGAAGCTGGTGTTATTGCTAATTGTTGTCAGTTGCTTTCCGTGATAAATGTAAGTGCATTATATGCGCTAGCTGGGCGCTCATTTAAGAAAGGTCAGTGATTTCACACTTGTTGTGAACTTTAGTTTACAACAAAGTTATAACTTTGCTTTTAAGTATTTATCGCATCAAAAGCATACTTGATTCAATTTAACTTAGATTATTCCGGCCAAGGTTTGGAATTTTCTCCAAATCTGTTTTGTGGCACTTTCTTAGTTGATTATCACACTAGTGATTATCTCGTGTATTTTGTCGACTTTCCCCTTTAAATTCTTTCGCAATAGCTGCCTCTATTCTCATGCGGAAGAAGAAATGCATCGTTATAACTTCAGAAAATAGGTTCCACATTATGTGTGCCCGTTTAAATCTCACTGCATACAAAAGATATTCGATGTCTAACTCCCATCGACTTTGTATATTTTGCTGTTCGATTATGACATTACCGATTCAAGAGGCAATTAGCCTTCTCACGTTGGTCAGCAAGAATGTTGATCGGGGCTGGAGTGGAGACATGAGTACTGACAACGAAGAATCAGTTTGTAGTAAGTGGTGTTACGGAAAGAGCAAAATACCCGACTGCGAAACATGCAAAAGGCAAGTATATTTCAAAACAAGTAAGGTGTAAAATGTCACTGTTTATTTGTGGTTACGGTTTTAAGGTGGTATCTGTAGATCCATATAAAACCGTCATCGTCCTAAGTAGTTCCGAGTTGGTTGTCACGACTGAGGGAAAATGGGCGGCAGTGGGGAAATAAAGGAAAGAAAGTAAAATAGCCACAAACAGTGTCCGTTTGGTTGATAACTCTCCGTTAGATTTCCATTCCGAGTCACAGAATACTCCGCGAAGCCCCCAAAATAAGACTACACATGACCCTAGCGTGGTTGGAAAGTTTGATCTCATCAGATGTTATCACGAGTAATTTGCTCAAATCAAACGACTCTGGTCCTAAAACAACTAAAATAAGCTCCCATCACTTAACAGGCAGGAAATGACAACGCGACCGAAAGCCGTAAACACGACTTTCAAGGAAGTAGAATTCGTCCCTAGTTTAATTATTTGGAATTTGGAGAAGTCAAAAGGTTCTTTTACCTGTTCTTTACCATATGTAGTTCATTAAGGATTGCTAAAATAATAACTTTAGTACGTTTATACTGATTGTCCCCACTGTCTAAAAGGAATTTATGATAGCCACAAACATTACTTACATGAGCTACTGAGTTACGCTTATTGTAGTCATGAAATCTAGTTGCCAATGCAAATAAAGCGTAAATCAGCAAAGTTGTTTTCATCGTTCGTTTGACGCTTGTTTTTAGTTCAGATTTCGTATTCGTTGTTGGACAACATGTTTTCAAGTACTAAGAGTTAAAAAGATGTTTCAATCTGATCGCTATTTAAAAGGGCTAACTTGGGATGTCTGAGTTCTAAGACGAAAGGGAAGGGTTATTTGAAACCAAGCTGTTAATGAGTCTATCTCAGAAGAAGATAGGACTGTTATCCACTCTCTTCAATCATCTTGAGAGTTTCATCAATTCTAGTGTTTAACGAAATCGCATGAATGCTAAAAACTCGAATGGCTTTCGCCAGCACGCGTCACTTATGACGTAGGCGAGATATTCGTCTACCAACTTAACGACAAGGTTGCTGTTCAGCAGTTCGTTCCATCTTACTTCTTGGATATGGAACAGGATATTCTTAGGTTATTAGTATTTGATCATAAATGTCTTCGAGGTGCCGCTCGTGTATTTTGAACTACCGAGTTAGAGGTAGTTCACTGGGTAAATACTGCAAGCCGATTGATGAGACAATGGATCGCCATCAACTGAGGTTGTTGAGATATGTGTTACGAATACTCAACCACCACCTACTTCGATGGGCGGCGTTGTGTAGTGTAGGAGTAGGGTGGAAGAAAGCTAGGGGGGTCAAATTAAGACGTGGGACCAGTCTGCGAAGTCACTGACAATTAGATTGAGCCGTGTCAACAGGTGTAGACTACCTGGTTGGGGCCCTCGTGATTGTTAGAGACTTTGAATGGTTGGGTCAAAATCGTTTGAGATGGCGCAGGTGCATCCATCCATTGTCTCTCCCTAGATTCTAAGCTTCTCATTTTCTTATAATTTTTTAATTTCACTAGTTTTTATCTTATTGAGTGGTATCTCTGGTTCCTAATATTTTTTATTACCACTACTGTTACTACCTGTACTATTCTGAAATTAACCCTAAAAAGTTACATCTCATTGTGATCAGGAGTATGACTAATTGGACCAATGTACACACGCATACTAGGCTCTACGTTGCGCGTAACTGATTGACCACTCAGCTGCCCACACAAAAAGCGGAGTTGTATTCACACCTGGGGATTAATAGTTACTAGTCAAGTGCTCTAAAGAATAAGTCACTGCTTCACTCATGAATTGGGAAGTGAGTCGTAATAGACACTACTGTGGTTTTCCTGCCTTTTGATAACAATTTGTAATACGGTCAGCAAAACGTTTGCAAATGTTTTGCAGCAGCAAATAACACCCAATATGTCGGTGAAGGAAACATAACTATTTCTTGTAAATCCAGACATTCTTAGTTTCATTTTTAGTAGAGTTCCTTGTCAAGCGATTTTCCCTAATGTTGGAATTATTCCTTGAAGAAAAAAAACAGTTCTAGCAAATGAACATAAATTAGTTTTATTTCGTTAAGCTAGATAATCTTGGAAACTAGTTTTCAAATAAGTTAATATATTTTCTAGAAGTGAAGCTGATGAAAATTTAGTGTAAATATAATAAAAAATTGAAGAGAAAGATTGATTATGAATACAGTGGTCTTGAGTGCTGTTAGAAGTATGAGGGCGATTATCACTTCCCTGATGCCCACACTGAAACTCTTCTGGAGGTACCTGAAAAGGAATTAGGATCAGAGGTGGTCTTAGTGACCTAAGAGTGTGACCACAGCGCCCAAGGGACAACTGCCTGAGTTCGGTCACACACGACCTTTTTATTTTCGTGTTAGCTCCGTACTTGTTGAGACCTTACTTACGGAGACGGATATCCGTGGGATAAGGCGAAGTGTGAATTTTTAGGGTCGACCTTTTCTATCCCCACCTCTCCTTGTGGGAAGGCAGCATCACTGTTATGCTGGTTGTCTGAAGGAAACACCTTACTGCTGTCACACCTCTGTACAGTCAGCAGTACGACTTCGCCTTCGGACCTTGAGTTTGTTGCTTTTAGTCTTACCGCTCTTCAGTCGACCTGTCTGATATGGTAGGGCCTTGAGGAACGATTGTTCGAGCCAGTATAGCTCGATTGGTTGACCACGATAGGCAAGCCCAACCACCACGTTAAGGTAACAACAATGGTCGAGGAAACTTTAGTGCGGTGTAGCTAAGATCAGAATAAAAAATATTGAAAATAAAAAGTGTAAAAGAAGGTCCTATGACGTCAGTCTGGGCACTAAACAAGATTTAGAGCTGAAACTGGGTGGATATGTAGTCAAGTAATAAAATACAGGTCAACGACAGTTAGGGATTAAACGAGTCAAGGTCAGTCGTTTGAAAGTAAGATTATGAACTAAAAGAAAATGGTGTGAGCAGCTGATAAGAATCAAATTAGATAAAACACATTCGTGTTATTCTGCTCAAATCATTGCTCTCTTTTCAAGTTAATAAAGGGAACTTAGTGCATGAAATCATTTCTGTTTAAAAAGTTAGTTGTAGTCTCAATCAAAATCACAAGTCTGATAAACGTTTCTTCTCTAAATTCCAGATTTACTACTTATTTAGAATTTAGTGCATTCGTTATTGTCGTGCAAAATGTCCAGTACTGCTTTAACTGCGATTTCTGTGGCCGTAGGAGTATTTTTCGTATTCTTTGGGACGTTAAAGCTTGGTCCATTATTTTCTGATGAGCTTTATCGCAGTGTGGTAAATTGTTTTCAAGAAAAAACTTTAGTCTGTTTAACAGAGAAAAAACTTCATTAGGATGTTCAAGACGTTTCCGTTTAGTTCGTTTACTGGTTGGAATCCGAATCCTCATGTAATTAGACGAGTTTATGGAACGACTGAAGTTGTCGGTGGTATTGTACTTGCAGCTTGTTCTGGGACTCCACAGGATGTTAGCAATGTTATACTGCTTAGTCTTATGCTATTCCATCTCTTTAGTATATGGCGCGTAGCAGATGGACTAAAAGAAGCTTCCAATCTCATTGTTTTATGTTTGATGCTAACATGCAGGTTTATTATACGGATTCAAGTGAGTTATCGTTAACTAGGTTTATCAATAATTATTCATTATTCCATACCTTTGTACAAGTTGAGAGTTTATTATTTACGAGTCCATCCCATTTAGTTAACATGTGAAACTTTCAGTACTGAATATTTACAATGCCTAAAGGTCCTGTAAACCTTGTGTTTCAGCTATTAAGTCTCAGGTTCACATCCCACTTTACCTACTTAAGTTTCGCCGTTCGGGTAGTATAATTGGTTTTCACACAAACAGTACAGCTTAAAGCGGAGTACATAAACCTTCACTTGGTAAATGATTTACTACAAAACACTAGGAAAGTGAGGAGATGCGATCACCCCTATTCGTTGGAGTTAGGATTACACAGTTCCGTCATCCTCTTCAATTTCACAATTGATAACTATAGAAATAGCTTTGGAGGAAGTCCGCTATAGTAGTTACCCCAACAACAATGTTATCCATATTATTACTTTTCACTCCGAAGTACTTCATGATTAAAAAGATACTTGACTATTTTTGTCCTCCTGATTAATTAAGTTATGGGAGTATAAAAAGTTCACTTGACTTTTTTCAAGTTTTTCCACTTGCAGTAAAAATAAGATATTTATTTGCTTGTTGGTGACAGAGTATATCACGTGATAGGATTCTCGTTGCTACTTAACAATGATATTTTAGCTTATAACTGAAGTAATGAGTATAAAGTTACTAAGGTGCTGATCCAAAGCTTTGGAACAAAAGATTATTACTTTGCTTCGTAAATCCAAAACGACCATTCTAATGAAGTCCAAGTTGGATTATACCTCGTAATGAAAACAATTACAGTAGTTTGTTGTAGACACATGTTGGGTTTATTTGTTAAAAATCAGATACAAATCATCAGCAATGAAAATACATCATATGTATGACATATATTTTAAGCTTATTGCTCATCATTAAGTCTATACAAAGATTACACTGATAGTCCAACTGTTATTACCGCATGAATATACATAGTATTCGATACAACAAGTTTAAATTTGAGTAAACGTTTATTTTTTAAAATTGTTTTCATTATACTAAATCATTCTGTAAGCGTCCCAAACGAATTTTCGGTACAAATGTTGATATTCTACCAGAACAGAGATGTGATGTAATGATACAGGTGGCTGTGTTACATTTTAAAAGTACGTTAACTGCATCTTTTTACTTGTTTGTGTATTTACCTTAACTGCTAATATGGGAAAAATCACCTGTGAAACGACCAAATAATGGTCAAGACATCTAATTTCCAATCAGTAAGTCACAAGCTTGAAACGCTACTTCAATGTGAGTAGCTTAGGTGACATTACTAGCTTTTACACATACTAAGGTATAATACATAATGCTATACTACATGGAATTGTGTATGGTTAATTTGCATTTAATTCCCTACCGGTTAGACTGTAACAATTCTTTGTCGGTTTTGAAAACTTCGAAAAAAACACTGATTACTGTTCCTTTTGCGCCTTTACTACTGTTCGTATATTTGTTTTTCTCCTATCTATTAATTTTCCGTTTAAGCTTATTCAAAAGAATGAAGAGGTGACGGAAAATAATGAATATCTTAAGAATGATATAAGAAGACGTATTGTTCTCCTACAGGAGGAATTGCAGAAAATGAACACTTTTAATAATAATAATAATAATAATAATAATAATAATAATAATAATAATAATAATAATAATAATAATAGCAGCAACACTAATAAAACAGAAAACGACACACACAAAGTAGAATGAAGTTTATATATTCCAGTTAAATAAATCATGGCTTTTTCTCATTGTAAAGGATGATGTCAATGCATTTATTTTGTTGTCCTTTCATCAATGTTTTATTTGTAATTTAATTTAATGCTTCGATTGTTTTTCTATGTTAGCCATATATATAATCTGAATGAACTTACATTTTCAATAAGTTGAATACGTACTCTGTCAAGCAAACACGCGAACGTTTGTATAAACTTCATTTTACGGGAATTTACTCCTCTTTCCTATTCGTAACGATACAGCTGCCCCATCTCCGTTTCCGTTATTACAAATATTTCTTGAACTCAAAAATATGAGACTGGCTTCGTCTTCTAACGTTATTCTAGAATTATATGCACAAATGGTCCATCTAAATTGAGTTCATCACTAATCAGTCGACTGCTGTAAAACAAAAGAGACTCCACATGTTTGATGTTTCGAAAAACAAAGCTAACCAGTCACCCTGGTCGTGTACCATCCATTACTGAAGCTTGAATCATTTAAAATGAGCTGCTAGCTGCGATGCGTTAAATTTATAAACCAAAAAGAAAGCCACTCAGGTGGATCGTATAGTATTGCGGCTCGAAGAACAGATTATGGTGATCACCTGCTGCAGCTAAGCTCAGATAACCGTTTCTCTCTAGCAAGCACTAACTTGAAGCATAAGGAAAACATTATCTGACATGGTGACCTCGAAATCGACTCAATGACGGGCCCAAATAGGTCACACTGCATCAGCCATCAATGGAAAAGCTCGAAAAAAGACTCGCCTATGTTTAGACTCGGATCATGGTTTGGTTCTAGCACGTATTTGTCTGCGTCTTACTGAACGCGAAAAAACCACAGTAAGAAAACCACTTCAAGTACAGCTTGATGAAAAGTCAAGAATATATCCCAGGAACAACTAGAGAGGCAACTAGTCAACTATATAAGTGATGTCCACCCCGAGGTAGTTTGACATAGCACTATTTAGAGGTTGGCTGATAAAAATGGAAGTTGTCATTGATTCAGTGTCAGTGTTACTTTGGTTTATAAGATAAAGCTACGTTTACCCGTAAGATACAAATATCAATTGGGCCGTCAGTTTTATTTAAATTGATTTAAATACCAAAATATTTAAAATGTATAAAGCTATTTATTCTGTAAGAACGTGAAGGAGTTCATTTAGAATCTACACTGAAACGGTTGTTTGATACATTCTACTTCTCAGTAGTTCGTCTTTGTTATAGCCCAAAGCCGCCAATCAAAAGCGGCGAATTATCGATCGGACCAAGGACGCGTAAAACACTTTCGAGAAGCCTAGAGCCCTGATTGGTCCTGCTTTCCTCCTAGCCCAGCCAGTTAAGTCCAGAACACCAGTTTCAGCCTCTGCAATATGAATAGTTTAGTTACTTAACAATAAAAATATACGTTTAGTATTGGTCCATAAAAGGATCCCAAAGTTACCATTCATTATGTTTATCGGGACCTAACGATCTTGAAAATGACTATTATACATTAGTTAATAATGAATTAAAAATCATAATAATTAGAGCTAACAATGTTCGACTTACTTTTAGGTTAAACTTTAATGATGGACAGAAATAGTCTAATTCATAGTGTAAATTTAAATTCCAGATAGATTGAGCTGCCAGTAAACACGTTTCTACATCACATCCAAGAAAACCAATAGAACTGTCAACTATTACAAGGTGATATGAAAATAAATACGAAACTAAGTAATTTCTTCGGACTTTTGATTAGCAAACTTGAATGTTACTTCACAAAAGGAAAATAGTAATCACAGACTTATATCATTCAGACGACCAGCGTAAGTTAGGGAAATAGGATAGGTGTGTTTCGTTCAATGGTCGATCTTGTCAACAAAAGATATCCAGAATCCCATTGAAAATTGAGCCTAGGACTCGCAAACCTCAAAGCCAAAATATCTTAAAATTATGAATCGTTCTGAGTTAGACCACCATTGAAAACACGGAAATACTGAACGGATGTTTCGTCCTAGTATAAGACTCCTCGGAAGCACGCACTCACGATCCCCCAGGCGCCAATCGAACCCGGAACCTTCAGTTTCAAGTGCGAATGCTTAACCTTTCGGTCATTGAGTCAGCACCCATCGGTGTATTTGTCTAACTTCATTCCATTCGCGGGTCTATTGGTGAGGTATCACCTTAATAAAGCAATCCAGTGTGGTTCAATCGGATTTAGAATTCATGTGGATGGATATGGGGACAGAATAGTATAAAAATGATCACATTTTGTGCGCTACAACCCTTCTACCTTGAATGTCAGTTAGGTCTGAATCATTATCCAAGTTATTCAGTTCAGTCCTTTCAGGTTTACAATAGTTATTCAACTTAGATCGGTTTTTGGTTTACTTAACATTCGATAATTTCCACAAACCCACCACTAGTATGAATACCTTCACTATGTTTTAATTTCATTTGATTCTTATACTTATTTTTAAGCTGAAAAGCATTTATAAAATTACATAACTGTACACTAAGGTAATGGTAAGATTTTCTTTTATACTGACCGGTGCTCCAGCTAATAAATCATTAAGACTGATTTCAACGAACTATGCAATTTAGTACAGAAAGCAAAAACGGAATTCGAAAGTGTGGTTAACTGAAAATGACTACCAATGTGAGCTTCAAATGCGTAATGTGATAGGTGAAGAAAATGGATATCTTCTTCCACCCAAAAATCAAAGGTAGGATCGGTCTGTACTTTTTAAATGTGAGAATCCACTTTATTAGTGTTTTCTATACCTGTGTACCTTCAACCATTGAGGAAAGTTCACAAATGACCAGCTGAACAACATAATGGATAGAATTATTTATGGATAATGTAATATAACTTATTTACCAAGCAGATTTATTTACTCAGCTTTGGGCCATTATACTGTTTGCGTGACAATAGGTGAACTCAAATCTGCGACCTAATTGTTAAGAGCAGTGTTTTAGGCACTAAGTTACTGCTCTGCTATGAATAAAGACTTAGGGAAAAACAATAAGTTGTAAACACTCAAGCCGTTTGATGTAAAGTAGGCTTATTGACCAGTAAGGGAAATGATAACCAAATTCAAGGTCAGGGAAAATGATAATTTTCACAATGGGAATCTTTAATATTCTAAAATGATAATAGACACATTGGTCACTTAGTAGTGGCCAACGTCATGTCTAGTCTTTAGCACTGAACTAATGCTATTGAACAAGGTGTAATATAACTGAATATCAGTAACATTAGATCATGACCGACTGAGGTGACAATATTCCTAATTAAGACACAAGAGGCGACAGTCCCATCAAGTCTGTGGGCGTGCCTATATGACGTGCTAACTAGCGTGAAAATTGGTTCAAGCATTCTTACCAGTTGGAACCATTATGGATTTTCAGCTCAAGAGAATAAACAGATGGGTGGAACATTTTGAAGAACAGTTCGGCTAGTCTCAAGTTACCCAGCATTCTCACACATAACCTCAACGAGAAATTAGCCCAAGACCCCCCCCCAACCTTTAGTAAGGTCGAAAAGATCATATATAAGTTGAAGAGAACGGTAAGGCTTGAGAAATCAACTTTGGAGGTCTTTGAAGCTGACACTCCAGTTTTAACAGTCAAGCTGGACTTGTATTAACAGGACTACTTATTATGTAAAAAATTTCTCAATACTCAGGATCTTATGAATGAACGCCGATAAATTATGTTCATTTTATTTTACACGACGACAGAGAAATATATTTTGATTACATATCAACTTTTCCTTCGCAATCTACTAAGTGCATTCATATAGAATTCCTTTAGGTTTTTCAAGTAAACATGTTACAGGTAGTATTTCTCACATACTGGTCTCAGTTGGAATAACAATCGAAACTGTGGGGGATGGAACAGCTGTTTGATCTGTAACCAACCAAACCTATAAATCAAATTAATCTCCAAAAATTCTGGGCAAAACGGATTAGTTAAGACCTATAATATAGCCATAGCTTACGACTTTATAATTTAATTGATATGACTTAAAATTAGTAATAGTAACTCAGATTCATAGTTTAAAAAACGATTTCATCCAGCTACTTCGTTGTGCACTCTTGCACGAGGAATTAAGGGCGGATTTCCGATGAATTCAGGAAATAGGAACTGTTCAAGAAATTATACTAGTTCGAGTAAACCATATGTAGATTGAAGGACTTAATAACACAATAAAATAATAATTATAATAGTATAGAGAACGAGAACTCAGGGGGGGAACAATCAATTTATTGTTTGATGTAAAATCAAACTGTAGTTTAGCAAAACGTGAAAATCACACATTAAGCACATCCTTTTTGAATTATCTCTTACAAGCTTCATTGTTATTTCATTCCTGTTAACTTGATTGCTTTCAGTTCCCTTCTCTTTTCATTTCAATCTTCTCGACCTTTTGCTCGCAGACATTCCACTCCCGATTGGTGCTACATACTACTTATATCAGCAAACATACGTAGCATATACCCCAAGTTACGAAATAAACTGCCACAACTGTGAAAAATAGTGAATCGAACAAAGTAACCAATTCAATAGTCTGCGTGAATACCAGTTGAGTGTGGCAAACATCATAACATATCTTCAGCCATACTAACCTATGCGAACACACATGTTCTATTAGGATAACGTTGAAATTCTCATAGAACAAAGGCTAGAGAATTTCCGCAAAATATGGTAATCGTCAGTTAATAGGTATAATGAAACAAATCCAATCTGCCGCTTAATTATAAACGATTACATGGTTAAAGCTAAGTTTAAGGAAAAATTGAATCAAAATAAATAATGGTAGTACAATTAGTGGCAGCGTCTAACCACGTCCTATATCGTTTATTCGAGCCGCCATTTCGTCATGACCAGGGATATTACCCAGTTGTCCGAACCAAAATATCTGGAGCAAGGTTCAAATGTGAGACTACGTGGTCGAGTTACCTTGTCATCAACTTAACGAACTGGTTATCACTTTTGAAAATATTTCCGCATAACTCACTTGTTTTTGAAGTTTGGATTGCTGCTGTTGTAAATGGTTTGTCTGGTAGGACAATAAAAAACAATACGATCAAACTATTCAACTCAGTAAATAAAACTCTACTAGAATTCTTCTAAATGTATTGAGCGTTATGAGGCTAACAATGAAATATTTCCAAGTATTATAACATACAGGAAACAGATTATTCAATCAAAGAGTATGACAACAAATTCATGAACAATTCAATTCAGTAAGTGAAAAAATTTTTTTAGTGTTCGAGTTGTACATAGAAATAAAAACAATTGTTCCATTTTCAGTAAGTTACTTGTTTTATTGAACTCCTTTCAAATTGAATGATTATTGTAAATTTTTTAAAAAACAAAAAAAACCCTGACAGTTGGAATTAAAAAGGTTACATATGAAACAAAAGAAAATGCTACAAAATACACATAGTGCTTTATGCTGGTCACCGTTACTACCAATAATAATAATGATAATAAAATCAAAATAAAGATTTCATATATTGCAAAGAACCTCCTAATAAAATGCAGAATTCTAATACAATACAGAAATGGACTAGATAATTGTATTAAAATCATAAAGAAGTTGAATAAATTATGTGTGTGTGTGTACGTAAAATGGTTACTACATAAAAGACTGTAATGAGAAAATATAACAAAATTTTTTTAAAAAAATCATTGAATATAACGTGAATCATGACAACTTTGAGTTGTGTGTCAAATAAATACATACTGTATTCCCCTTTTTAACCAAAACAAATTTGGTGAATAGATTTAGAGCACGTCATATAGAGTGAAATCGTTCAATCTATCATCCTTCATCAAACAATGAATTTTGTTGTTCCTTCCTTATAAAAGTTTATTAACGGGATTAATATATATTATGAAGAATTAACACTGTGTGTATCGGTCAACTCATCAAATTATATTCAATGTCGAAATTGTGGAATTATTCCATTTGAATAATCTAACACAATTCAAAGAGATCTTTACTTTTTTGTTGAAAGAAAAGTTGATAAAAAATAAATCGAAGATATAAAAAAAAACAATAAATGATAATTATGGCAATGGTGATGATGCAATAGTTAAATGTCAATCGTGACAATAATGAGACTATGATGATATACAGAGAAAAAATAGAAATAAATTGCGTCAGTATGCAAAATGACAAAACGCAAAGTTGTGTGATCGACAAGAACATGCATATTTTTAAGTCAATATCAGTGAATAGACAATATATATATGCGAATCAAAGTTTCCATCTCTACTTTATATCATCACTGTCCTCTCCTTTCTTTTCAAAATGCTGCTTTGGTTTAGGCACCCAAGCGATATTTCAGCACACACGTAAATCGAAAGACAAAAGTGTGGTGCGTACATATTTGGTGCCTTCTTGTACCAATGTTTATGTGTTTAAATAAACACAACTGTAGATACTATGAGAGAGGAATTTGCAGGATGGCAAATATTAAGAATAAAATGTAACCTGAAAATGATGTTCGGAAGCAAATAAATATAAAGAAGTACAAACTAGTTTTAATTATCACTACCAAGTAGAGCAGGTTCAAACGTTAAGTTGAATTCATCCAGGGAAGTTAACAAATCTTGTATTATTTTTCTTAAATCATGGCTTAATAAAAAACTTCTTGGTTCATACATATGATAAGTGATAGGACTAATTGCCAATATAGATAACCAATCAGAGAGTAGGTGATCACGAAGTGCATGACAAATAAAACGCTATAAAAAGTGAAGTAGAGAGAGGTAAAAAAAAAGTAATATGAAGCAGAAACAAACAATGAATAACCAAACAATTATAACTAAAACATTTGTTCTGATATGTAAGGCAGTCAAAACTAAGCAATTCTAGGCCCAACATACGAATTAAATCCACTATTCTCAGTTAAAATATTAGTCTTTGAATCGATAAATACGTTATTAATCACATTCATTTGTTGTGAAAGATGAGATTAGTGAGCTACAATATATTATCGATATAATTAAAAAAATCAAATGTCTATCAAATAAATTCCCCACAGATTTTATTCTGATTGGGAAAATCTAGGCAGGATTTGCATCTGCAAATACCCTAGCTCCGCTTCTACTGATATTGATATCTACTTTTGCCAACTTGCGTCATTTATGGCGTGGGCGAGATATCCGTCTATCAACCAAAGGACGTGTTTACTGCACAGCAGTTCGTTCCGTCCTAATTTATGGCAGTGAAACATGGCCGGTAAGAGTAGAGGATATTCGTAGGTTACTAGTATTTGATCATAGGTGTCTTCGAAATATTGCTCGTATATCCTGGGACCATCGAGTAAGTAACGCAGTTGTTAGGAAACGGGTTCTAGGTAAGGATGGCAAATCGATTGATGACATAGTGAAACTTCATCAGTTGAGATGGCTGGGACACGTGTTACGTATGCCCAACTACCGACTACCTCGACGTGCGATGTTTTGTTGTATAGGAAGTAGGTTGGAAGAAAGGTAGGGGCGGCCAGACCAAAACATGGCACAAGTCCATGAAGTCACTGACAAGTGGACTGAGTCATGTTGGTAGGTGTAGACTACCTGGTTGGAGACCGCGAGATGATAGCAACCGATGGTTAGAGACCCTGAATGACATGGCTCAAAATCGTTTGCAATGGTGCAGGTGCATCCACTCTTTGTGTTCTCCTAAATTCTAATCTTCTGAATTCTTCATGTCCCTTTTTTCCTCTTTCCAAATTTATTTCACTGTATTATACTCTTTAAGTAACATCTCCAAACCCTAATCTTTCCGATTACTGCTTATACTCTTTTTACCTCTACCACTACGGGATTTGAATCGAAAACTGCATCTCTGGGCTAATGTGGTATGGCAACTTGAACTGATGTACGTACGTACGAAGTTCTATGTTGTTACTGACTGACTTCAATATTCGAGTAATTGTTAGTCAGAAGGAAACTATCAAGAGCGAATACAAAATCATCTCTAAAATAATATTTCCTATCAAGATTGACATTTAGTTAATTATGTCACAGTGTTTCAGTATGAAGAAAGCACAGCGACCATAGTTGTTCTCTGATTGGTTGCTTTATCAGGTAAGTTAATTCCCAAGGTAATCAGACTACAAAATAAACAGATTTGTGGTATCACACTTTGTCTTTTGCAGGTTGCAAAAGTTCTCTTCCCTTTTATTTTAAAAGGTTGTTTAGTTGTGTTATATTTATGACGTAAACTACAAAATTCAACAATCTCTCATCCGGCTCTGCACTAATAAGATCAAACTGTCTAACACTCAATAACACCACGTATTTTCTAAGATAATTAAGTTATTTCAATGTATTCTACTGGGATTTTCAATTCAGATAAAAAACTACTTTTCTTTAGTTTCAACGACTGATTATTGTATTCGGGTAATATCATAGGCTAAGACTTCTTGTAAAATGATGTATACTTTGTAGTAAAAGTATGGTAAGAAATTTTCTAAACAGAAGAAACCATATTATAGTATCATTTCGAAAATCTGAAATGATTAATGTAAACTGCATGAAGAGAAAAGCGTATTCCATAAATTGGTGGAATCTCTAGATTTGTTGGGAACTAATGCATAACAACATTTAATCATACAGTTTTCGATTTATTGTAATAATCCAAACAAAACCAAAATGTTACTTTTCCTTGGACAGCTAAATATTTTTTATAACATTCAGCTAACCGTTTCTATTCAAAAATCACCAGTCGAACTGACTTCACTACGTTATTTCTTTGGTTGATTATATATGATGAATCTATGGATGATTTAAATGCATAAGGTTCCCACTATTCAAAGTGTCTTACTCAATGCCTTCTCGCGGTGGGATCGTTGTTTACGAAATTGGGAGGAAGGAAAGTGAATGTCCGACGCCTTAGCCCAGTTGGTGGATATGAAGGACCCACCTCGGGAAGTTGGAAAACCTTGATTCCAAACCAATGGTTGACATGAGCTCCAGGATCCTGAGGGAAAAAATGGACTATGAACCTATTGTTGGTCACCGATTGCCATGGGAGCACATCTACTAACGTTTTCCCACCACCTCGTGGATTAGACCTCTAGGTCAAAGGTTTGGGGAGTGGACTCCTAAGAAAACCACATGACTCGGTTTGGGCGTCCGGGCAGTGTCCCAGCCCTAACACAAACCATTTGATCTGTGTGGAACATATATGTTCAGTGCCTTTTTGTACCAATGTTCATGTGTTTAAATAAATAAATAAATTGTTTAACACTTTTGTGAATAAATAAAGTGATATAAAAATTAAAGTATTTGTATCTAAAAAATATTCAATAAACGGAACAAATTAGACACACTTATATACACCTACCTGAAATTTACCCTCTTTACCAAAATTCATACTATTATTAGTGATATTTTGTACATACATAGTAAACTGTAATGCAGACTGCTGTATAGAATTGGGCATTGAAGCTAATCCATTATTTATTAAAATATCAATAGGTTCATTTTGTGATGTATTCAAATTATCACCAATTAAACGAGAGAATGCAGGTGAAGCAGGTTGTGAAAATGAGATTAAATTAGAACGTGTATTGGCATAGTTTTGTTTAGATTGACTATGATTATAATTTGAATAAACTTCATTAACAACAGAAAATGATGGTGAATGTGGTAGTAATCCATGTGATTTAATGACAGATGTGAACGTTGACATTTTTTCATGTTTATTATTATTATTATTATTATTATTATTATTATTATTATTTCCTTGACTACAACAACTATGTTTCGATGTTAATGAACGTGGTAGACTATGAGTAGAGAATGGTAAATAGTTAATTCTACTAGAAGTTTGCAATTCTGGTACTCGGAAATCCATACTCTGTTGTTGTTGGTTCTGACGATCAAGATTAGTAGGCTGAAGTTTCGCCAAGAAATCATTAGCAACTTTTTCTATTTTTATAAATGTTAAAACAAAAATTCATTTAAACAGTAGAGAGCTTCAAGGTAATCTAGTCAGTTTATTTCAAGTATAACTTAGCAATCATGTTATATATGCTCGTAACCTTAATTATGATTTATGTTTTTTTTGTGTATATGAAACAATGATATGTATTTTTGCAGTTTAAAACTTAAGAGAATAGAGGTGAGAAAGAATTCCTCCAAAACAAATTGTCGGAAATCACATGTATGTGCCTCAAAGTGACACTGGTTAGATGCTAATATCTAATGATATTAATTGTTTATTAGCAACTTTGTGACAAATGATGGATGAAAGAAAAAACTGGTGTATACATTCAATACGCTCTTATACTACAACAATAGATGTAGCTTGTTTTAAATGAGATAATAAAATTATCAATATGTATTTTCACACATCTAAGCTGAATTACCATTGAAAACTTGAAAGCACTGAATGACCATTTCGGCCTAGTATGGGGCTCATCAGCGGTTCATATCTACGATCCCGTAAGCATGACTGCAACCCAGGACCTTTGGATTCGCGCGCGGACGCTCAACTTCTAGACCACTGGGCCAGCATCCAACGGCGTTAATGTCTAACTTCAATCGATCCATAATCTTGCATAACCCAGTGCTTCCATGTTTTCAATGATGGTCTAGCTTAGATCGCCTTGTGAATTCAACTGTGAAGATACCACAACCTCCATAAATCCCCATACAGATAATTATTGGTATGTAATTGAGTATATAAACGAATATTCTGGAATTACGGAAATTTGTAGCTTTAATGATAATAAGTTCAGGCCAATGAGAGCTTCAAAATCAAAACACCTACAACGCAGTGAAATTGACATTTCCAAAAATAAGCGAATATATATATCTATGACCAAGTGAACTCTGTAAAAATGAGATTCGACCCTATTACGTTAATTAAATGAAATAAACTCTTTATTCATTGAAAATAGTGGGTTATATTGAGTCATTAAACATTAGAATATTTAATTTTTCTGCTCATTAAGATATTAAAAACATTTCTTTATCAATTTAAAATAAAACCTTAATAAACACAAATAAAAGTGAATTAATGAATTCTATTACATACCGAAATAATCCCATACATACATTTTTCGTTGAAATATACGACTTGATCGAAAACCATAAGTGAAAACTAAATGTAAAGCTGGTACAAGACCATGTTCACCGCACCATAATGATGTTAAACTAGTTGTCATTGTATTAGTATGATTTGTTTTACAGAAGAATTTTAATAAACAATTCACTGCATTAGCTACACGTTCATGTATTATGACAGAGTTTAAATTTTCTGATTAAAAGACAATGAAAAACAACTTATATTTACTAAATTGAATTAAATCAACTGTACTATGAAGTGATAAAATTAACATTGTAACCAAGATGTAGACATGAGATTGTAAAAAACAAAACAAAAAAAAAAAAACAACTCAATAATTACTTATATACATAATAATAGGAAAATGCATCAGTATTAACACTGTGAGCCTCTATACTACTATTAATGTAACTATATGACCAGTTGGATAAATTATTCAAACCAAGAGTTATCCTAAAACCAAAACACTATGATCTAACAAACATGTAGATAAACGTAAATCGGGCGTGACGATAACCTATGGATGAACCAATGACATTGAAGATAGCACGTTTTGGATTTTGGCGTGAAGATTCATTCACCCCTATGATTAAATAGTATTTTGGCACTACAGCTGATGTCAGTTCGTAGTGAAAACCTTAAATTTTCAACCCTAAATTCTAATTCCAATTCCTTACACTAGTTTATAACCCTTTTTAATCCTAACAAGGCGGTTATTCTTAAGGTCACTTTATCTTCGTTCAACGGTCGTCCATAATGATTATAATCTCATCAAAAACTCACCTAGAATTTGATTAACTCGTACCTACACTATACTTTTAGCCATAAATCTTACTGAAATAAATTTGGGACGAGGAAATTTGAGCTTAAAATGTATGATTATCGTTGGTAAAATATCAAATTTCATGAAATTACAATGATTTATGTAATACATAATAATATTATCATAATTTGGGCAATCTTTTTTATACGATTCAATAACAAAAAAAGAATATAAAACTAACTTTGGTCCGAGTTTCGTCTTGACAGTGATGGTGATAGACAACGATTTGGCAAATTTTGTAAACATTCTATGGGATCTGATGATAACGCTAATGGAGTTGTGAATAGGAGATCTTCCATAATAAACATATAAGATAATAATAGTAATAAACATGTGAATAATTTGTTCATGATTCGAACAATATGAAAGAATACAAATTGAGTTAATTAAAAGAAAAAATGAATAATGAAAATGATAATTAAGTGCAATTAAACGTGATTACGTGTAACCTTTGAAAAAAGACATGTTTGTGTAAACATGATTAAAATCAGAGAAAAAAAGAGAATTGATTGGTTGAATTCAGATATTTTGTGGATGAAAGTTATCACCAAACGCACTGGATGACTGTCACTTGATGTTCCACAACGGATTTGAGTCAAAATCGTACTAATGGATGGCGATACAGTAGTTTCAGGGGTTAAGTATTTGCCAAGAGAACTGAAAATCTTGGGTTAGATCACAGGACAGGTCATGGGTACGCGCTGATGGGCGGTCTTATATTAGGATGAAACAGATACTTAGTCCCACCTAATTTTCAACGGTATCTAAATTGAGAATAATCTGTGACAAATACAACCTATGAATTGAATTAATCTCCACAAAACCCTTTCAACAAAACTGTAAACAGACCTAGTACAATCAAGAACTTAATTCACGATCACTTATAACAACAAGTTCGAGGTTAGATTAGGAATTTAACTTATGAGGTTAAACTAATAGAGTAAGGACACAAAAGTGAGAAGATATCATTAGTTAGACGAGGTTGGAATGATAAGCCAATTAGACTGGAAATGGTGGGTCAATTGCCAAACGCGTATCAAGTAGCTCTAATGTTATGATATTGAGTTTAACAAGGTCCATGAACGGAAAGCGATGAAAAATTTCTTTAGATAAACTTGTCCCGGTCTTACTTAGCTTTATCCATAAGTAATATAATTTAAAATTACTTTGACTATTCCAATTTTCGATCACACTTTTACGGTTTCAAGAAAAGTAGTTCTGGTCGGTAGCTCAAACTGTACTATGTACGTCGCGGTTTAAATCCATGATCAACTTGAATGAAAGTGATTTAACCATTAAAACAGTGTAAGTGGCATCATTTATTAGATAGCCTTTTGAAAGTAGATGAATTACCATTTACATTTACAAAAATATCACTGTACATGGACAGATTCGAGATGTAGTTATAATAGTTTTCATCATAGCAAACCTTTTTATGACTTTCTTCAATAATTGAACAAACACCAAGCTAACTAAATTATTTAAAATATTATGACCAACAAAATGACTATAAATTTAAAATGTAAGAATTATGATATTTCATTCCAAAAAGTACCACATAATTCCTGGGAAAACGTACAGAATTTCTTCTTGTTTTTTTGTGTTATACATACGATGCATAAATGTGAAATAAGTATAATATATTAGGTATGATAACCCCCTGGTATGGCCGAGCGTGGAGAGAGTCAGCTCTCTCTCGAAATGCTTTCACATGGCCACGCATATACAGCCGCTCACAGGGAAGTCTTAGTCACCGCATTTTCACAACAGAGCTGTTGTTTACGAAATTGAAAAGACGAAAAGCGAATGTCCATCTAGAGGAGTTGGAAAATCCTGATTCTAAAACAATGGTTCACATGAGCTCCAAGATCCTGTGCGAACGAATAGAGTATGAACTTACTGTTAGTCACCGACTACCATGGGAGCACATTTACTAACGTTGGCCTACCACCACCTTGTCGATGTAGAAAAGAACAACTTTCAGTTACCGACCTTAATAATGAGATGACGAATAGTTATTTTTATATGATGAATTCAATTAGAGGTTTATCACCACTAAGACACTTGTTTTGCTTGAGATCAATGCCAGTAGAGAAAAATATATTATAAGCTTAAGCTAATACTTTATAAACAAAAAGAATTATCACCAGTGCATTAAGAGGCCATGTGTCTAGACATTACATTTTGTCCTATATGGTCTGCAACGTCCATAAATTTCAAACTAGAAGTGATGTGCGCACTTACACACACGAAAATCCTCAAGATATATTTCTTTTTACAAGTTGAGACACAGACTAGTTAGTAATACCAATGAGAACACTAAAAACTTACCGTTAGGAAATTAAGGTGGGATAAAAACAGCAATTGTTATTTAGACAGAATCCTTTAAAAAACTGATTAAAACGACCATTATACCTGATATACGATAGTGAGAGTAAAACGTGACTGTTCATTGAGCCTGGACAAAAAGATGTTACCCTAACAACCATTAGGTAGGTGATTTCTTTTCCTCTCACCGATTTCTACTAAGTGCGACTGCTTGTAGCTCAGTCGAATAAAATACTATCTAGTGTTAATTTGGTCCTCTATTTAGAGTTGTGAATCCTGGATTTGAGATATAACGTGATCTGGTCTCTGTATTATGTACCGTTCAAGTATTTTATTAAGCGTAGCGTAGTATACCACAAAGAGAGGGAAAAGATATTAAACCATCCATTGTAACAATGGTCAAAATGGAAAAAGAAAACCGTAGCAAAACTATAAAAATGGTCGTCATTTTTTTATTACAAAAAGAAAAGCAAACTAAGTGCAATCCAATATGGTGTTAAACAAAGACATGTCAATGTGAATGGGTGTTAATTATTTTCATCGCAAACTACAAACGTAAATAATGATCACTTTAGGTTCAACCTTATTAGACAAATGAATATACATACATATATTGACTAGAAGTGAGATTACTAGGGGATTACAGTGCATGAATGGTGAGTAAGCGTTAAAAAGAAAATGAAACAAAGCAATAGCACACACAACTTACAACACAAGTATCTCTAATTGAAAGAAATATGCCAACAAATAATATTGTTTATTTTGTTGTACAGAAAAATAAAAAAATGAAAGACATTATTGCCGGATGTTTCATTACTAGAGACTAATTTTAAGGGAAAAAAAGGAAAACCACTGTATTAATCATGTTTAACGAAAATTAGTCTAAAAGCAACGACTAACATTCTTTGGTACGTAAAGAGAAAAAAAAGTTCAACATTTCTAACGATATATGTTGTTTTGTCTATCTAACTTAGTAATCAGATAGATATACATAGTCTGTCCAATAAATATGCGGACTGTATAATGTTGATTTTAGAAAATTTATGATTCATTACTTTATACCTCACCAAAATGTTTTCTCTTTGTGGCGATGTGTTATTTTCAGCCCAGTTTCCAGTGTTTAAAACATTTTTTGAAAGTCCTCATCAATTACTCGTTGGAAAGCATAAGTGTACACTCTCGATTTTTTGATTAATGCGGGTCAATAGTTGTTTATAACTAGCACTCTTAAGAGCTTATTTGAAGAAACTGTTATGTACACTTTTATTACACTGTTTTCCGCTAAATAAAGTGTTTGGGACAGTGGAAAACACGTATCGAATAAATGAAAATACAATAGCTGGAGGTGGTGTAGTAGATATTGCAAAATAAACAATGAAAATCCAAATAAAATCAAATAGTAATCTCTTCATATATTACAATAGTATCAGAAAAATGTACAGATTAAACGAAGAATGTACACCTACATGGATCATTTGATGCAATACGGATTTGTTCACCAATGAGAATACGTTCTAATGCATCATCTTCAACTCCTAAACCGAACCAGTGATAACATGGGAATCTATAAATAAATATATTTCGACAAGTTTCTAAGCAATAAAGTAACTAAGATTTGTAAGGAAAGCAAAACACATTAAACCAATGTACAATTGGTTTTATATATACAGACACTACTCGGTGTCGGCATGCAATACTACTGTAAGAAAAGACAATTGACAGGAGGGATGTGTATTTATTGAGAGAAGTTATAAAGTAATTTATACAATAACATATACATAGACTCCAATCGCCTATGAACATCTTTGAGTGTTTTCTGATATTCAAACTGTCTTCTATTCTGGTCTCTATGCATTCCACCAACGCCGTGCTTGCAATGCACTGGAAATTCTCACAATTGATACAACTTCGACGCCACTTTCAACTACACACTACTAACAAACATCATTGTGGGTAACATCGACCACACTATCACTAATTCATGGATTTTCTACGCATGTACAACTTGGTTTTAATCTTTCATGTGATTTACAACTCTAATAAGTAAATGTAGTTCACTTATAAAACATTGTGGATACATAAAAATAGTTATATATATATATGAAGTACAAAATGATTAAAATGATATCAGTTACGCATAGAGAAATAATAATATTTCATTGAGTGATAGTTTGCAAGCCATAGATAGTTTACATAGTTGGTGATATGTTTTGTATTTCAACCCAAAGATACTAGATTTATGAATTACAACCTGATTCCCAGAACACTTAGACTCTCAAACGCTGAGCAGAAAACAGAGAGTAAGAACTATGAAAGATTTACTCCGAAAGTTAGGTAATCTACAGAAAACTAGGGTATTTAAAGGTTCACATGGGAACTTGAGATTCTGGAAGTCACTAAAAAGACATTTTAAAATTAGTGACAAAATCGATAAGGATACAATTAAGACATACCATTTTCTAGAATTCTAAAAAATGAAGTGTATACAGGATTTTACCAGTTTCTGAAATTTTTTTCGAGTAATTAACGAGATCTCTTAACAGTGGGTGTTTAATACATTATTGTTTGGTTATATTGTCACGTTTATGAACAGACACATCTCCTGGTGTATCATATGTATTTCTGCATTTATGATATAGTTTATACTTCCAGCAATCTCATCCCGTAAAAAACAACCTTGCTAAAAAAGTGCCAGACCAAAATGCTAACCAGAAGACTTTTTGTGTAATGGATGTTAACAATTCACATGAAGTAAAATACCCTGATCTATTAACGATTCAAATACAAAGTACAAATGTATTTGATGTTATATTAAATTGCTTTGTTAACGTTTTATGTGAAAATAACAGAAAAAAAAAAGAAAACCTCAAGATTTCACAATACATCTATCAAATACATGAACTTACAAATAAAAATGATTAGTAATACGATTATGAACAATAATGAATTCAATAAACCATTTCGGAGCTGAACCAGTATTATCATGTCCAATTTGTAATGTAGACAGTAGACCAAGATTACGATTCTAATTAGTATGAGTATATAATTTAAAACAAAAGGAATAATAAAATACGGTCACTGACAAGTAGAACGGAAGTGAAATATAAAATAGAGGTAGATAAATACCTGTCATATGTAAATGTAAAAGCATGTACATGGGAAGGATAGACATATTTAGCACATTGCCAAGAACTTATGATTCTGATGGCAGAACGGGGCCTTTTTAGCTTATCATTCGCTGAATAAAGGACATAAAGTGGATGCGATAAATGGATTGTGAATGATCAACAAACGATCTAATTTTGACTAGTTAAGAGTCACAGAAGCTATAGCAATTGGTAGATTTACACCTAAACAATCTAATTAAAAAGTATCAGTGATTATCCTCCGACTGCCGTTCCACGTTTTTATTTTTCATTCTTCAAACAGTAAGAACCACAGATTCGTATAGTATCGATAGAACGTAGCTAGCAGTGGAATCCAGGGCGCGTGCTTTGTTCTATTTGGGACTCGTTATCTGGGTGCGACTGCATCCCAGAGTTGGTACTAGCTCCGGGACTTGAGGCCAGTACCGTTCGATCTGAACGCCATCGGACTATCACGTAGATACTGAGATAGCCACTCATTTGTATAACAGGTATGAGATTTTAACTCGACTAAAAATGGATTGGAAGATCACGTTGTTGTTTTGACTGAATTCAGATCAGTCTTCATTGGCATATGTGTATCCCGAAAGGATTAACTCGATATAACCTTTGTTCGAGTCCCGAAGAAGAATCAACCCCAGAATGTAAGTAAATCAAGCTGACGAGTCTTAAATGGAAGACACATGCAACTTGGATTCCACCGTTAGCCATGTTTCATCAATTCTGTGGCAGCTTGTTGTCCACAAAGACTATATTAAGGTAATTCTCATAGGATACAAATATCCCAACTAAGAGGGATCAAGATTCAGTCAAAACATCTGCAACGGGATAGTCTAATCCATTTCCAACTGAATCACAACCACAGTCTACTAGTTAAACCAAATTATTATTCTTTATAATTAGCCTAAATATTATGGAACTATCATCTCAATCCGTCTCAGAAACTGTTGAAACTATAACTTATACTTACTTAAACGACTTCTACTTAAGAGATGGACAAGCCGTTTTATAAAATTCTAAATTACATTACTAATTTAGTCGGTTGGTGACAGATAACGTAGGACCTGGCTTAAATGTGCATCGGTTCAGAAGAATGTGACACGGCGAGCATGAACCACCGCAAGAACGACTGCTTTAAAGGGGGGACGAGTGTGATATGTGCTACTTATATTGAAACAAGTAGTATATGATGTTAGTCGTGGACAGAAGGTCTGGCAGCAGAGAGACAAGAGGATCGAACAGTAAAGAATGGAAACAGAATGCAATTTATATGAAAATGCAAGAACAATGAAGACTGAGTCATTATGAGACAACTGATGGATATTTTGCAAACTACGTATTTACTATTTTATTGTTAGATTTTATTAACATGTCCTGTAATTATGTATCAAATACATTCAATTGTCCCACTCGTGTTCTGTTCACTACAGTAGTAGTAGAAAGAATTAAGCACAAGAAAGCATAAGATTTCGGGACTCAGGATCTAAGGATAGACAGTCAGTGGATCCTCGATTGTTACCAATTTCGAGACAAGTCAACTAACGTCTACAGCCATTAATTAAAATAACTGAGGGGATTAAAAAATATCCTCTATTTTCAGTGGCCATGCTTCACATCCGTAGAGTAGAACAGAGAGCTTCTAAAGAGAATGAAACAATATATAATAAATGCATTCTATTCTGTATTTAATGTCATTTTCCCTTTGTTCAAGTAATTTACGAAGAGAGCCTATTACGTAGTACAAGAATTTTGATGATTTATTGATAAATTGCATCAAAATTCACTAAAAACTTTGTTAAACACCTTCAACCAACTAACTACGAGATATAATGATAACCAAGATCAGGATAAATCTTAGGCTCTTGAGATAAGGCATATTACAGTGAGTTAAAAGAATGTTCCGGGAAGTTAATAAATATATAATATACGTGTAAACAAATATGAATGATCAGGATAAAAGCGTTTATCAAAATACAAAAATTATGAAAATAGGAGGGAAAATAAGTTTCTGTTTAACATACACAAAACAAATAGAAATAATAATATGGATTGATGACACATTTACGGATATGAATATTAAAATTTTAAAAAATAGATAACACCTCGAAGAAATATGTTCAACACATTAAATCGTAGTGTTTGAACTCTTTGAGCTAGTAGCGGAGCACATAAGGTTGATATCAAATCAGCATTTGTTGTGTTGTACAAAAGCCTTCAAGGACGTATACTAAGGTTTATTTAAGCCTCGGCTATACGAAAATTGAAACCCCCTTTATGTGTTCAAAAACAATTTGTACTTACACTTAACCTACCCTGGTAGTACTGATTTACTATCCAGAGTGGTAATCACATTTGTTTTTGTGTACTTTAATATTTTTTCCTTTGTTATGACTTACCCTTAACCTGTCTAGTTGACCTTTTAATTTTTCATATATAAATGTTCTTAACAAGTATATGTGTGATCAGATTGTTCAAAATGTATTGCGCAAATATATCACATAATTCTGATAAACTACGTCTTCTCATTGCACTATCGAAATTTATCAAAGAGAAAGCTTATTAACACTCACGAAACATAAAAAAAACAAAGATTTGGTAGACATTTAACAAAAGAAATATCTACTTTGATTTCAATAAGATTGTGACCATGTGGAATTTTGATCACTTGAGTTGATCCAAAATGTCCATGAATTTTAATCCATGCATTTGCTGTCGATGTTATTCCGCTACTATGCTTTCGACCAGTACATATAAATATTTCGTAGATAATTTCAGTTTGATTAATCATTCGTGTAAATGAAAAATAATCGACAGCATTTAATGATAATAAATGTACTAAGAATTGTTCACGTTCTTCTTCACATCTTAAAAAAGCATATCTTGTATATAAGTGCCTAATATTAAAGCAAAATACACGTAAAATAGAATACGATAAGATAGGATAATTATATTGTCTTTAGTAAGAATTAACACAAACGGTTAAATATATAAATATAATAAACAGCTTATTGAATTTTTGCAAAGTGTAATTAATATTTAGTTAACCAAAAAAAAGAAGGGGAAAACACAAAAACCTCCATTAATTTCGATGTTACATTAATTAGTAAGTAAATTTATCTAGTAATCGCAATAGATTACGATTTTTTGGTTAGAGCACTTGACCTTCAACCACAAGGTTACAGATTTCTCTTCCATCTCCCTTTAAATTTATTTCCGGTTTGAGTAAACGTACAGTGATAGCATTATTAAATTGAACACAAAAAGTATACAACATAAATAAGTAGATGAAATTGCACAAGTGAATAGGTAACTTATTCACGGGTTCTAAACTTATTCCACTTACTTTTTTGGAGCCAGTTATAACTATTATTATTAACACTTAAAAGTTAGCCAGTTATAATCATAGTAGCCCAAGTTACCACACTATATTCGGACAATCAGATAAAACTAACAAGATGAATAGTAAAAGAATCGAAATAATATGATGGTAGTGATATTGAAAAGACATAATGAAAAGGTATGTGTATAGGGGGTAGGTAAGTAAGATTCAAAATTGAGATTAAGACAAGTGGAAAATGAACCTATGACACTGTGACTGGTTCTGAGCCGTGTCAACGAGGGTCGCCAAATAATGTAGGTCATGATAATTGAGTAGACCCCAAGCTTGGTAAGTCAGAGCCTATGGCTTGACATGACTCAGAGCAACAGTCAATAACTTTATGAACTAATACCAAGTTTTGGACTAGCTCTTCTGTAAATGTGACCCAAAGACAAGAACGTGAAATGATACGTTCTTGATGAGCAGTAGTACGATTTTAAAAAAACAGTTACTATGTTTATAAAATATGAAATATAATGGAGCCTATTTATAAACAGTCATACCTTAAAAGTTTAGTATCCATTAACAGACGAGTAAGATGTGCAGATAACAACTTCTTTTCTAAAGCTAAACGAACAAATGCTCTGGCGAAACCAATATCTGTTTTAACAGTTTTCATTGATTGAATTGAATGAATATCGTCAATTAATGAATGTTCAATGAGTTTTGACCCAAATATTTTACGTAAATCTAAAATCATTCCAGCACCACTTATATTTATTGGAGTAAGTGATCCACTGATATTACCGACACTGCTGCTCCTACTACTACTACTACTATTTCCAAGACTATTGTTATTAGAAGATTGACCTAAACGAGATGAAATTGGACTGGGATATTTCTGTCGAGATGAAGCACTTTGAGCACGATTAGAAGAAACACGAACGTCTAACACTTGAAGTTTCATTCTCCAACTATTTAAACTAGATAATAATTTTGGTGAAAAAGTAGATGAAGAGGATGTAGTGGATGGATAGTATGGATCTTGCCAAGGAAAACGTGAAAATCGGTGAGAAGATGGAGTTGTTTTAGATAACTGATTAGATTCCATCATATGTACTGCATCATTTGAAAACTTGCAGACACGTTTTAACGAGCTGCAACCTAAGGAAATAAATAGACAAGAATAACAGTTATTCCAAAGGGAAAGAAGTGATTACAAAAATATACTTTGAACCAATTGACAGAATCTGACAGTTAAAGTATTTTGTTAGAACCGATGAAACCTTGATATGCATTTGAATGAACACCTACTAACCTATGATTTTAATATTTAAAAAAATATGGCATGATGAATAATTGAAGTTGTACTGTTACAGTTAAAGTGAAGTAATCTAGGAATAATGCGTTTCTGCTTACATTAATGTGAATTTGACTAATACACCCAATAGCCACGTTCGAACAAATTTATAAGCAGTAGAGATGAAAATAGTAGGTCCAAATGGCATACAAACAGAGACAAAGCAAAACTAATGTCAATTATCGACATATTATGTACTTTGGAAATACGAGAACCTTTGGGACATAGCTCAGTTAAATAAAAGAAGAGACATATTGAAACAGAATGATTCGAAAGTATATAATAGATTCAAAGCAAAATATGTTCGAATCAATCAAATTGTAAGATACACTATTTTAATAAAAGTTATGTAGAAATTATTGAACTAGTATCACATTATAGGCAGATTTTAGTTAGACAACCACTGGAAAACAGAGAGCACTGAGCAGATGCTTCGTTTGCATATGTGTTTGACTATAGTTTCTAATTTTATTTGAACACATAAACATTGGTGCAAGAAGGCACAGATCATATGTATATATGCACAACATTTCGTCATTCAATTTGTGTTAGGGCTGAAATACTGATCAGGCACCAAAATCGAATCAGGTGGTTTTCTTAAGAAGTCACTCCCCAAACCTTTGAACTAGAATTCTAATCCACAAGGTGGTGTGAAAACGTTAGTAGATGTGCTCTCATGGTAATCAGTGACTAACAAAAGGTTCATACGCCATTAAATCCCTTGGGATTCTGAAGCCCATGTACGCTATTCGTTTTGAATCATGGTTTTCCAACTCCTCCAGGTGGATCTTCCAAACCCACTGACGCGGTTAAGGCGTCAGACATTTGCTTTTCATCCTCTCGATTTCGTAAACAATAGTCCCACCTCGATAAGTCAGTGAGTATCTGTATACACGTTGCCATGTGAGCATTTCGAGAGAGTTGACTTTCGCCACCCTCGACCGTATTAGGGATGAGTATGATGGGTAACGATTTTTGCAAAAAAATTATCAATTAATTGATGGTTAGTATAAAAACGGTTTAACAGTAAGGGAATATTCTTAATTGAATAATTAATTTCATACTAATTTTTGATTGTAACGTATTCACACAAACTTAATTTACCCTAATTTATGTTAATAAAGAGACAAACTAACTAACAATTAGTTTGTAACATAGCAGCTACAATTCTTAAAACTGGTCGCAACTAATTACTCATTGTAAGGTAATAATTCTTCAATGGAGTGGAATATTACATATAAATCCAAGTTGTTTTTCCAAAGTCACTGTTTAAAGTCGATGATAAATGAAGGCATGTCATCAACTATTCTTTGAACGATCACAAAATTACAATGACTGAACCAAATATGTGTTTATACATTTAAATATTCTAAGCAAGGAGGTACGTATTAGGCAACTAGAAAAAGCTGAATTAATCTACGATGTCGAAAGCTTTGTAAACTATCTATATGTAGAAACAAAGTTCTCAATTGCTAAATTAATAATTCCCTTTCTTTAAAAACATAGATTTATATTATTATTGTTTAAAGACAAGTTAACAAAAACACATTTGTGGTAAATTTTGTAATAATATTTCAGAAATTTATAAATCCTAACTAATAACGTAGCTAGATTGACAAAGAAATCTCCATAGTACGATAATTGCTGAAATCGACTTCATGTGATACAATTTTGATAGACAGAGAACACTACTTGGTTGGTTATAAACAGCTGGAAAAAATGGATTTTTAATCGAGTAAACGATGAGTGAATGAATGGATGAAATACTTGCGATCGGTGTTATATCTCGAGACCGCTGACTAATGTCGCGGACAAAGTCACCAATCAGAATTCCAATTTGGTCTATTTCACGTTTATTATTTCTTCTAAAGCCTGATACCTCCCAAATTGGCCAATTACTCGCCTGACCGGCATCAATGACTCTAAGCACTACCTTGAATTCGAAAGATAGGAACCAGTTTTTTATCAGAGTTATATCTCAAATAGATGCGATTTATATGCAGACATACTGGACAGTAACACACCATAAAACGAAAAATAACAATTATACATAAACAAGTCAGAAAAGGTTATAAATAGCAGAGGCTGTGAGTAATAAGACCAGCAACAAATTGGGAATAGTATATTATATGATAGTAGTCAATGGGTTAACCGAAAGCTAATGACAGACGGAATACACAGATGTAGTAATCTAGTTACTTATTAATTATACAATAAGACTACATATAATAATTATCCGTAAATTAGTTCTAGGAATTACTATTCCTTTAATCTTCGTTCTGATATAACGGCCGAATAGTGGTTTAAACTACTCATCAACTCAAGAGGCTAGAGAATAAAAAGGTAGACAAAGACTTAGGTTTCGAAAACATCATTTTTACAAAACAACTTTAAACCATTTTATAAAACCCGGATAATAAGCAAACAGGCTTTCATAACTACCAGTCAGTCAATCAACCATAAGTGACGTAGAACCTGGCAAATCTATTTGTGTTGATTAGTTTGGGTAACTTGAACTGATTCATGAACGTAGTGAATTATACGTTTCTTACGGCTGACTGGCACAAAAAAAAACGACAATAGATAAATACACATGGTACTAACCAGACATTACCTGAATAATTTGTATCAGTTTGTGATGACTTTTGTTGCAAATCAGGTGATAATAATGGCGAATCCGATGGTAGGAGAGAATTCTCACTGCCAACATTAACACTTCGTAGGTCAGATATGCGCGGTGAACCACTACACGATGATGATGTAGGAGGTGATGATTCAAGGTTGAGTAATTCAGAATCATTTATTGCTAATTCTTTATTAGTTTGTTTCATTAATTCAACACGTCTAGCATAAAAAACTAAATGTGACCATAAAGCTGATTTACCCTTTATCAAAAAAGAATACACAGAAATTTTCAGAAATCTTTTTAAAAATGTTATAAGAACTAATGTTCATAAGCATTTTATGTACTTATAATGGTATAATCACAAAGTAGATCGACAAAACATACATTTGTTAATCAAAACTGTCATTAAAATAATAATCAAATATTTAGTTGTAATGCTTATGGAGATTAATTGAAGGTGAAATTCTTTTTGTCGTCAATTAAAACCAACTCAGAGAATTATTGAAAACAAAAGATGATCAGTGATCTCCTTAAGAATCCAACGAACACAGAAGCTTCAAATATTGCAGCTTGTTCGTTAATTTTGGACCAGCTGGATTTATCCCTGTCAGGGGAAGGGGGTAGTTATCTACTACTAACATTCAGCTATGCAGGCATATATTGCAGCTCTGTTAAAGTGAGTAATGAAGACTATTAAACTTAAACCCACTGCTGGTCGTAAAGCATGAGTTCCTGATGTGGTCGTTGATATTTGTTGCTGAGAGGTTTCTAAGACAAAACATATTCACAGTTATTTTTAGTTTTTAATGGGTTCTCAGTTTACATAAATCCATGGAATAAAACCAGATTAAAAATAATTAAATCATTACGCTGTCAAATTTATCAGGAGGTTTTATGGAGATCGTAGTAATTTAATAGTTGAGTTCATGAGTCAATTAAAGCTTCCAAGTTTTTCATGGTAGTCTAGCTTTAATTGATTCATGAACTCAACTATTAAATTTATCAGAATCAATTTCGTAGATATTCAAAATAATGAGTACCATCAATCGTACTTCACCAGTAAATGTAATTTGAATGTATTACGTAGTGTCAGAACGAGTATTCCTTCTGGATTATTTACTTTCTGGACATAATGAAATCACCTTTATCGTAATTTTGTAATCTAAACAAATAGTTAGAATTTTAATCATCTAACATATAGGTACATATTTTTTACAGGGAGTTAAAAACAATCTAACTTTATCCAACTTTAAGTACGTACTTTATCCTAGTGAACAAAAATATTGTACATATCATTTTGAAAGCTGTTAGATACAATCGAATATAAAGTGGACCTTTTAGAATTGTTCTGTGGTGGCTTATTATACTGGGCATTTACAAAAATATTGGGCTTACGGTATATTTATACTACCCTAATTATAAACTTTCATTTAAGTGGTTGACTATTGATGTCTTTTCCCATTCATGAATTACGCTTAATTGATTATGTACCTGTTACTCAGTTTGTATCACTAATAACATAGTCATTTGTAGATCGTGATTTCGTATTTATGATGCGTTATGATAGTGTAATTGATATAACTGATGAGAGCATGTAAAGTGTGCATGGTTTCTTTTGATGTGAAGTCTATCCACAAGTGTTGCGCTGATAAGATTGATAACCCGGAGACTAAAAAGAATTATTGTTGGTATAAAGAAAAAAAAAAGAGTGGTTTCGATAAACAAGTATGGGTCATAGGTAATTCAATAAACCCGATATCTCCTTATATTTCTCTAGCACAAATAAAAAATACCAGAATCGGAGATTCGATCAAACGACGATGCTAATAATACTTTCATCATATGCAATATAAGAAACCATGTCGTTCAACTGCTTAGATATTTCACTTTGGCTCATACAAATTTAAAATTCATATGGGAGCGCAAACTATGGAATAAGAAGAATTTTTCAACCTTAGGGACAACAAGAAAAGATAATTCAGTTTTAAAATTCATTACTCGTAAAATTTCCTGAAGTGATTATTATTTGCACTTCAGTGTCTTTTGTTCAATCACACATACAAATCTCATCAGAACGTTGTTATCGAGAGTAGTTGAACTATGTTCCAAAGACTGATTGAAGAGTAAAGTAGAAATCATCCGAAGAATCTTACTGGAAAATTAATACCTCATCAAGTTTCAAATTAGCACTTCAAGTCAATAGTTGAAATTCCACTACAAGCCAATGTTTCTCAAACTCCGATTTAAAGCGATAATCTTAGCTCTTGGAATAGCCGTCGACTAAGGATTCCATTGGTCTTTCGTGTTAACAATTCAATTATCACATATAAAACGATGGCCGAATCAGTATTTTCGTATCGGAAACCTCAAAACTATTGAATATACTATCCTGTAAACTAGTTAAATCTAAATCTAGTCCCATTATTTATTTGTTAATCAAATTAGGAGAGTTAAAATAGAAATAATCTATGAAACTGGTAGAGAATTATTCATTGAAATTAATTCAAATGGAAAACTTTACAACTAAAGGTGTGAGAAATAAATTATCCCTATTAACAATAAGCATATGTACACATTAACAGATAAACGTATAATTTAAGTCTGTGTTTTACCCACTATTTTTTTATTCAAACCATGTGACCATATACGTTCCAGTAGATCACATAAACCAGAAACTAGTGTATTTTCTTCAACTACAGAAATATTTGGATCACAATGTCCCATTTCAATTGCTTCTTGACCAATTTTCTTGAGAACCATTCGTTTAGTCTACACAACATATGAATAAATTAATACCATTGTGTTAGGGATTAAATGATAAAATATTCTGATAGTTAAAAGACAAAGGTTAGATAACACTAAAAATAGAACATTTATTTATTTAAACATGAACATTGGTACAAGGACGCACCGAACATATATATGCGCCATAAAGATCAAATGGTTTGTGTTGGGGCTGGGATGCTTCCCGGGCACCCATACCGAAGCGGGTGATTTTCTTAGGAGGCCACGCCCTGAGCCTTCAACCTAAGGGTCTAATCCACAAGGTACAGTGGAGCAACGTCAGGAGATGCAGTCCCATGGTATCCGGCGACAAATAATTGGTTCATACGCTATTTGTTCTCTGAAGATCCTGGAGCCCATGTGTACTATTGGTTTGGAATCAGGGTTTCCCAACTCCCCTAGATAGATCCTCCATATCCACCAACCCGGTTGAAGCACCGGAAATTCGCTTTTCATCCTCTCAATTTCGTAAACAATACCCCTGGTGAGAGAAGGCAGTGAGTAGCTGTATACACGTGACCATATGAGTATTTTGAGACAGAGCTGACTCTCTTCACCCTCGGCCTTACCAGAGCACTTGAGGGCAAATGTAGAACATAATGATAAGTTATTTATTTTAGGCAAAAACAGAAATGCCAGGTATTTCTGATAGTGATAACAACCAACTAAGTTTAATGTTGAATAGTGATATCATAACAGTCTAGTTCTACATCAGGTTTAAGCTGTTAATGTTGTGTAGAAAGACAAAGAAAGCGTTAGGACTAAATCACACAAAACAAAGAATATAACTTTGCCAAAATAAGATGAGTAACAAATAAATACAAAAATTAATGTCACGAATAGTGAGATACAAGCATAGGAAATATCATCAGTCAGTCAGCTACAATTTAGTACCAGGAACATATATGCGTCGGTCTAACTTGCCATACCTCATTGGCAGAGCAAGATGAACACCGGATTCATAGGAGTGGTTAAGCCAATGGTAGCAATGTATAAAAGAAAGATTGTATATAAGGATATAATACAGGAAGAAAGAATTAGTTGGTAGAAAGAATGGTATAAAGTAATTTTAATCTCACGATTTAAGGGAAGACAAGCAGTGTATACACCTACGCCATTGTGATCGATTCTGAGCCATATCACCCAGAGTTTCCAGCAATTGTTTACGATAGTCGCACGGACCCCGACCACGTAGTCTGCATCTACAACATGGCTTAGGCTAGAAGTTTATGACTTTATGGACTGATACCACATTTTGGTATGGCCGCCCCTAACTTTCTCCCAACCGTCTCCGACACTAGTCAACATTGCACGCCGTGGTAATCGGTGTTCAGGCATGCGTAACACGTGACCAAACCACTTTAGTCGATGAAGATACACAACCTCCAACTGATTTACCATCATTCCCTAATACCCTGTGTCTGTCTAATCTCACTATTACTTACCCGGTGATCCCAGCAGATACGAGCAATATTTCTAAGACATCTGTGATCAAATATTAGTAACATACGAGTATCTTCTATTCTTAGTGGCTACGTTTTGCAGCCGTAAAGTAGAATAAAACGAACTGCTGCGCAGTATACCCGTCCCTTAATTGATAGACAGATATCTCGCCTTCGCCATAGGTGACGTAAGTCGGCAAAAGCCGAACGAGCTTTTCGAATCCGTGCTGAGATTTCGTCAGACACCAACCCATTAGGGCTGATCAGACTTCCAAGATAAGTGACGTTGTCTACGCGTTCGACCACTTCACTCCCTATCCTTAGTTCAGGTGCTGATGCAGACCAGTCCTGAAGCAACTACTTGCATTTAGAGGGGTAGAAACACATCCCAAATATCCTGGCATTGTTGCTGAGTGCTGACCGATTTGACACGGAGTATGTGCGTTGAAGGCTCCAATGTGTAGTTTGGATCGAGGTTTCAGTAGACGTGGGACAGTGTTTTGCGCACTTGAATCGTTGGACATGGTGACGTTTGAGGAGGAAGCCGAAAGAGGAAGTTTAGAGTTGAGAGTCGATGTAGGAGGAATAATGGAAATTGAAGAGAGAGGTTGATTATGAATACAGTGGTCTTGAGTGCTGTTAGAGGTATGAGGGCGGTTATCACTTCCTGGCTGCCCACACCGTCAAGGGTTCTTCTGGAGGTATCTGAAAAGGAAATTGGATTAGAGGTGGTCTTAGAGACCAGAAAGCGTGATCGCAGTGGCCAAGGGACAACTGCTTGAGGCCGATCACACACGGCGTACTTGCTGGGACCTTGTCGCCGGGGACGGATATCCGTGGGATAAGGCGAGATGTGCATTTTTGGGGTCGACCTTTTCTGATCCCACCCCTCTTTGTGAGAAGACAGCATCGCTGTCATGCTGGTTGTCTGAAGGAAACACCTAACTGCTGTCACACCTCTGTACAGTCAGCAGTACGACTTCGCCTTCGGACCTTGAGTTTGCTGCTTTTAGTCTTAGCGCTCTTCAACCGACGTGTCTGACATGGTGGGAACTTGAGGAACGATTGTTCCGACCAGTATAGCTCAGTTGCTTCATCACGATAGGCAAGCCCGACCATCACGTCAAGGTAGCAACAACGGTCGTGACAGGATAGTCAATACGATAAAAATGGTGACCAACTAATCAATCAAGTAAAACATTATGCTTGCTCACTGAGGCTAGAGACTTTTTAAAAACAATCGGCAGAAAAAATCTAGATATGAATGAATTGGCTTAGATATGTTTTAATTATAATTTACAGTACAAGTCGGACAAGCGTAGAACCTGTTAAACCAAAATCACATCAGTTTTATAAGAAACCAACAGACAGACGACCATATACAGATGTTAGGTGGTTGAAAGTAGTCGACAGGAAGCTGTGGTCGATATTGGTTTCAATGTAGTTGGTACTCATCAGTAAGGAGTACCTGTTATCTTGAAGTAACTGATATTTCTTGCGGAATTCAAACCCGGGTTACCCAGCTTCACAATCTGAGACATCACCACAGAGTAACTTGGACCAAGACTGACCTTTTTTAGGACTGAGTTATTTGCAACCATTAGATTATTGAGTATGGATCAATGTCATATGTTTGGTCACTTTATACTGAACTAACTGTTGATCAAGTTGAAATGTGGTCACTAGTTTACGTGACCAACAGAATTCAATTAGCACCAAAAAACTAGGCAAAAAAGACAATGGTTGCTATTCGGTAACCAATCAATTGTACACCATATAGCAGTTATAATCACAAAGTTCGCCCCCAACTAACTATCAATACTGAAATAAACTAAGCACATAAAAGGACATCGTTGTTGTGATTACCCTATGCTTGCATTCTTCGAGTAAAGCATCAACAAAATCCCAATTAGCTTGAGCCATTCCATTACGTTGTAAATCAGCGAATTGATGATGTGTATGCACAAAACAACGATTCACTGATTTTGTATTATTTCCATTGGATATATTAGAATCCTGAAAAATAAAAGTTAAAAAAATAAGGTATTAGTAGTAATCATAATAAGTCTGACTACCTGATTCAGTGAGATTGAAACAAATTTTATACGATCGAAACTTACACATATAAGAATAATCGATTACAAAATAGCTATTGAAGTTGGGAATGCAGCATTAGACACTAAATCAATGATGCTAATGGTCGAGCGTTTACCTCGAGACATGAAGACACTAGGTTTGAACTCTGGTGGGGCCGCAGGTGTTGATTGTTCAGGCGTCCCACACTAGGGGAAATAGCTATCTATTTCTCTCTGGTTCTCAATTGTAATCAGTCCATGACGAATACAACTAAACTCCACAAAAACTACTTCTCCCATAAATAACTATCTTCTTTTGTCAATATAGGAAGGATAGACTGTTAAAGATTAAATATTCATTTATAACAGCGTCATCTTTTATTTATACTTGGAAACAAAGAACCAATACAATTCCTGCTACGTGAAGTAATAACACAAGAGACTGGTACAAGTGAAGATTCATTAACTCCAAAAATACGATTATTCTAGCCGGAAATATACTCATTTGTACATGTACTTGTACATCCGTTTGATTATTAATTGGAAAAATGTCACATCAATGAAACTATAAAAAAATCGCATGCTCCATGTCATGTTTAAAATAGTTCACGTTGATTTAAACAAAAACACGTAATTTAGATGATTATAGAATGGATATTTGAAATTACTGCTTAAGAGAACTTTATTAGCAGACACATAATTAAGATAATTGATAATAATATTTTTCCTATCTAGATGTAATTTTAGTACTATGTGTATGTCACAATTCGTTGCAATTAGGAAAAATTTAACTAATAACAGATTTCTGAACCCAAATTTAAATCACTTTCACAGGTTGAAATCGTGAGTCAGTTGAAGCTAGACCACCATTGAAAACCCGGCTCAGTGGTCTAGTGGTTAAGTGCTCGCGCGCGAAGCCAGTAGGTCCTGGGTTCGAGCCCCGCGTGGTGCGGGATCGTGGATGCGCACTGCTAAGGAGTCCCATACCAGGACGAAACGGCCGTCCAGTGCTTCCAGGTTTTCAATGGTGGTCTAGCTTCAATTGACTCATGATTTCAACCTGTGAAATTTCTAAAACTCTCCACAAAACCCATTCTGATTAAATCACTTTGTTGTAAAACTGGCAATGTCTCACGTACCAGATATGAATTCAAACCAAGCCCTAAGTGTGATGGCTAGTGATAATAACTAGTTTTCTAAACCGAATAAGTTAGACGTGGGGTGAACCTGTGAATTATTAGCTGAAAGTCGAACCCCTTGACTACTGAACCACTACTTTATTCCCCCAATATCACTTGGCGGTTCAATCGAAGTGAATGAGACAGGCTTCAAACCTGCAACCGACTCTAATGAATCAAAGTCCAGTGTATTTTAACTACTAAGGCATCGGGAACAGTGTAAAAACGAATCAAGTAATCTAATAGACTTTTCACTTGAAGTGATATAACAGTGATTGATTAATTCACTTTGATATTGTTTTACTTGAATCTTCCCATTGCACAAGCAAGTGGCTATCAGGACTCAGTAGCTAAGTGGATAACGCGATGGCGTTTGAAGCGAACGGTACTGAGTTCGAGTCCCAGAGTGAACATCAACTCTGAGATGCAGGTACATCCAGCTGACGAGTCCCAAAGAGGACGAAACGCGCGTCCTGGATTCCACTGCTAGCCACTATCCATCTTTGCTTATAGTGATTGATTAGTTTAAATATAGATTGCTTTTAGTAAATGAAGTTACAATGAAAATACATACGCTTCTGTATTTATCTACTTAATTAACTTTACAACATTCTTACAATTCTTCATGATCATTGTTTAATGATCACATAAAAATATCTGGTGATTTGATTGAAAGTAGTGCAAATTTTAAAACCATTTAGATGCATAGTTCATGTCTGATGAGCTATGTACAATAGTGACATAAATAAAATGCTTAATACTTGACAGAGCGTCATATATCAATTTACATGAGTAAAAAAAATTTCAGTTATCAATATATGATCCATAACACCTTTTAATAATAACCATTTTGTTTACTAGTGAATTACTTCAAGAGATGACCCCCGGAATTTTAATGAAAAGCTGTGACCAGTAAAGTTCAACCAAGTCAGGTATGCTGCAAATATTGTAGTGAACGAACACTCGGGTGGGGATAACCAATTTATTATTCAATGCAAAGTTGCAGAATGCTTTGGTAAAATATGAATACCATACATTAAATACTTCATTTGCACATTTTCCTCCAGTTGTCTTTTACATGATTCATGATTCTTTCAATTCTGTTGTTATCACAATTACTTTCTGTCTTCCCCTCAATTATCTTCAATTGAATCTTTTTAATCTTCTGCTAGCATGCATTTCACTTTCGACTAGCGCCACAAACCGCTTATATCTGTCAACATAAGTAGCATACACCATAATATTACTAATGACAATGGATGGTCACACAATATTGTGAGTTAATTGCAGTTACAAATGAAAACTAAGAGATACCAACTTAGTGGTCTCATTGTTAGTCGCTTCCCGAGAGGTTTGAAGCTCCTAAAGTGATTCCTGGTGCGACCATAGATGTGTACTGCTGGAGAGTCTAACACTAAGTACGATAAGGCTGTCTAGTGCTTGGTAGCACTGCTGATGGTCTTCTAACCAAAGTCAGTCTGGGACGTGAAACCTCAAATGAAAAATTGGATTTAAAAATTTGTTTCATTAATCTTGTCGATCGTTTTGGTTAGAGTTGATAAAGATAAACATACTATATGAATTAATAATCAGCATGAGTTACAATAAATTGAAATCTAAACTTTTTGTATTATGCTTACGCTATTGTATAACATACTTCTCAATGGATACATTATAAGTCTAACATGGCTAAGGTTATCTGAAGCGTTTTCAATCTTCACTAATTGCGTTGTATCCAACATATAGACTCACTTATCGGATAGTCACTTGATATTAAAATATACTTTTTATTGATGATTTCATTTCAAGCCCCAATGCTTACTGTATTTGTATCTCTTATCAAGCAAATCAGGTTGCACTACATTGGAAGATATGTCTATGGTGGATAGTTAGGGATTATTTCCCAATACCCCAAACTGAAATGTTTAATGAAAATTACATACTAATTTGTAGAACTACTCATAAACTAAACAAATAGAAAAATTATCGAAATTAGCTGGCCACAACAAACATTAAAGAGATTGCGGATAATCTCGAGCGTCAAAAGCTGTAGCACATTTCATGTAACATTCATTCGTCATTTTAGTACGGGTAAATCATCGAACAGTGATGAAACAACTTTCAACTATCATTTCGTAATTATCTATCATTTTTAATCTAATTAAACAATAAAATTAAGTCAGGAAATACATATCTAGAAACCAGAAACCAGATCTTTTATCCTTTGAAGTAATTTCTTTAATAGTAACTGTCTAAAAACAAGGACGATAACACATCAAACAAACAAAAAATTGCTAATGCTTATTTAAGAGGTAAATGTTAAACAAAAGAGAGCATCAAATGTAGCCATCATCAGTAGGAAGTTTTCATAGGAATTTTTTTGAGATTAAATTAAAAAGTTAAAAGAAAGAAAAATAGTCCTTACCACATTATCTGATTTATTCAAATTATTTAAAGCATCTGTATTCATAGTATTGATGATAGAAGATAAAGGAACAATTCGTTTAGTCGGTGTAGACATGCAACCAATCGGATTACTTGATATTAAACATTGAGACGCTAATGTTGATGCGGCTTCGATATTGGCTGAATGCGATATAATATGTCGACTAGTTTTATCTGATTGTGAAACAGCATTAAGATAGTAGTGATTTAATGAAAGTGATGTACAGGAACCATGTGTGGATAATAATGAACACTTATTACATTTTGATTGTTGACTACTATTATTACCAAAAGGATTGGACAAAAAGTGTTTGTGACTTGGAGACATCATTGTCTCTGCAGCTGATGACGCATACGATCGTAGCATGTGATTATTTAATGTTGGAAATTGACCAAATTGTTGTTCACTAACGACACTGAATGATGGTGATGATGACGATGGTAGTACACATTCAGATGAGTGAACTGATTTCGATGATACCTGATTATGAGTAGGTGGTTTGTTGTTGGTAGTGATACTTGGTTCAGTTTTAATATCATATAATAAGTCTGGTAAGTGATCTAAATTGAATAAATAATTTATTAAGCAAACTGAGTTCTATAATCTCTAGTTAAAATGAAATAAATTAGTTAAATATGTAGTGATTACTTGGGATATTTTATCACACCAGTTAGAGTAGCTATAAATATGATAATAAATATAAAGCAAATAGAAACAGAACAAACTTCATATGATAACTTTATGGGAAATAATAAGGCATTCAATGTTCATAGAAAGATAAAAAAATGAGGTCAATAAAATGACTACAACAATGGTTCTTATACACACCTCTCATTAAATCGAGTGTTGAAGGAGGGTATGAGGGTGATTATCGCTTTCCAGTTCCCTACTGTGTGGAACTATATTTCTTCTTGAGGTGCTCAAACGGTAACTGGATAAGTAGTGGTCTTAACGAACTAAGCGCATGACCGTGGAGCACAAAAGAAAACTCATTGACGCCGGTCAAACATGGCCGTTTGTGAGTCTTTTAGTTTGTTAGTTCTGGAATTTTCAGATTTTACCACTGACAACTGGTATCTATGGAACTAGGTGGTGCATGCTGATTTTACTATCGAACTCCTTCAGACCATCACTCTTAAGAATTTTACGATTAACTATCAAAACAAATTGGAGATTAAAATTAGAATGAAAGATAACTAATGCAAGTTTTCCAGTGAAAGAATTCAACGACTAATCTGTAAAAATTAAACTACCATATACATACCACCTCCCTAACCTGATATCTTTGTCATGTAGATAACTGAACATTACAATTACTAGGTAGAGATAAATACAAAATTCCAAGTAAAGAAACTTGAACCATTTCATTTTTGAAGTGATAGCAAACGAATTTTGTGTAATTATTAAAATTTCAATCATATATACTTGTACGGCATAACAGTCACAAATTTATCTCAGTTAAGTTACCACTCATAACCAGGAAGCACGGGATAAATTGTTTCGTTCTGACATGGGACTCCTCAGCAATACTCACGCATGACTTAACCACTTAAATCTCGGAGCGGACGCTCAACTATTTGAACCCCTGGGTAGGTAGTATCTAATCAATTTTGCAACAAAATGCGACGATCAATCTGTGGTGAATAAAACCTATAAATAATACCAATCTCAACAAAACTATGTGCATTTATAGAAATATCATACATCAATGAGGCAATTACACTCACTATTATTATTAATTTGACAATTTACATTTTCAAATATTGGCTTAGAATTGAAATCAGGAAAATTTGAATTGTACTGAAGTTGTTGATTATAATCAAACATCACATCATTATTAATGTTTTCTGATAACAAAGTTGTATTCATTAAAGTATTATTATTATTATTGTTATTACTATTATTAGATCGAAATATTGTTTTTCGTTCATGGCGTGATCTTGACAGCAATAAATGGAAAACAGTTAAATGCATTGGTGGTGAATTAGAATTATGCATAATTTTATTGTGTGATAAATTATGCCATTTTATACGTGAATCTAGAAAACTGGCAAACATTTGTGTTTCTAGAAATGCACTTAAAAAAGGTAAATGTGTTTCTGGTTGATCACTTAAAAAGCCAACTTTATCAAATCCATGTAGACCACAGGAAATATTTCCATTATCTGGTTTTTGTCCATTCCTATCCAATATTAAATAATTTTCATAATCTTGAAATATCATTGTAAAATTGGCAAGAAATAAATTTCTTATAGCTGCATTTATATGTAATAATTCGGTATAACTTGAATAAACCTGTATAATATGAAAGAGGAGAAAAATAGCGATTAGTTCAAGTTATCAAAAACGAATTCTGATTAATCACAAAGTGTAATATTATGTTAAATAGTGAATTTTATGATGTAATTCGCCGATTCCTGTAATTCTAATCAAAAGTTAAAGATCCCGGATTCGATCTTCCGTAGAGTCATGACTGTGCACCAGTCAGGGATCCTATACTAGGACGAAACAGCAGTCTATTGCTTCCTGCGTTCGATTGGTTATCTAGCCAAAGACAATCTGCAACACGGAACATAAGATACGACAGTCTTCACAATACACTGCCCTCAAATACCCTGGTACGGACGAGAGAAGGAAGAGTCCGTTCTCCCTCTCGAAATGCTCTCACATGGCCACGCATATACACCCACTGCCAGGGAAGTCCTAGTCACTGCCTTCTCTCACCAGGGGTATTGTTTACGAAATTGAGAGGACGAAAAGCGAATGTCCGGTGCTTCAACCGGGTTGGTGGATATGGAGGATCTATCTGGGGGAGTTGGGAAACCCTGATTCCAAACCAATAGTACACATGGGCTCCAGGATCCTCAGAGAACAAATAGCGTATGAACAAATTATTGGTCGCCGGATACCATCTCTTGACGTGGCTCCACTGCCTTGTGGATTAGATCCTTAGGTTGAAGGCTCCGGGTTCGGCCCCCTAAGAAAATCACATGCCTCGGTATGTGTGCCCGTGCATTATCACAGCCCACACAAAAATCAAGTGCCTTGTCTGGGGCATATGTATTCGGTGCCCCTTTGTACCAATATTTATATGTTCAAATAAATAATAATCAATAAGAAGCATTAGTGTTTAAATACAACTAATGCATTATTAATGGTTAGTATCTAATTGGTGTGGATTGCGTCGCATAGCAAAATCTACCAGAATAGAAAGAAAATTTAAAGCAACGAGCACCGATACGTGATTAATTAATTTATTTATTCATGAAAATGTTGGTACACAGGGGTACGAAAATAAATATGCACCACACAATAAAATGAGATTTTGAAGAGATTGACCAAGGAGAGGGAGCATAATCATATATAAATATTTTTTAAAAAGTCGAGTGAACGGAAGTAGTGGCTAATGGGAGGAGCGACCTAGTTAACGGAAATACAACCAAAAAGAATTCTTTCGGTTAAGGAAGTTATAGTAGGACCATCACTAACTTCTAGTTCAAGCCATGTCTAATAACAAGTTCATAAATTATTTTTAATGTGCACTAATTTTTGATGAGTTTTACTAAGTGAACGCTATATTCGGTTCCTAAGCTATTCTCATAACCCCCAAGCTAGGAGTACACAGCAACCTGAACACGAGAGGAAAGGAGCAAAATATGCGAGAATCACTTTACTCCAAATGTTCGTTTTAGTGCAGAAAATATAGGGTTTTTATAGTATTTTAGATGTCCTTGAGTTTCCCGAAAATTTTGGAATGCTACTAAACATAGTAGCAGTATAATAATCAGCCAATCAGAAACCCTACAAGTGATGTTTCTGGCTAAACTTCAAGTGAACGCTGATTGGATAGAATGTTTCTTAGTGTTTCCTGAGCCTTTCTTGTCTTTTGCGAGAAGTCTTCTGGATCACCCCAAAAATTTTACAAATGTTTTATGCAGTCTTGTAACTCAGTTCACTGGCATTCTGTTAAAATTACTTTCGAAAACCATACGAGTTCAATTTTTGCAGTAATTCAATAAGCGAGAGAGATTATAACCCAATCAATAGAAGAGAAATGTTAAGAATAGGAGAAACAAAATTACAGAGTTCACAAGATCGGGAGTAACATTTCGTGAACTTGAATCGTTAACATTGGTGGAGCGTGGTGATAAAAATTCGCGATAAGGGTTAACCACGGGGGTAGGAGAGTAATTAAGAGGTAAGGCAGGGGTATGATTGTGAGCAAGTGGATCTCGGGTGTTGTTAGAGGTATAAGGGCGGTTGTCGCTTCCCGGCTGCCTACACCGTGGAAGGATATTTCTCCTCTCGGATCTTAAGTTGCTGACTTTGGCCTAACTGTTTTCCATTAGATCTGCCGAGCACGGCAGGAACTAAAGGAACATGTATCCCAACCAATTTAGCTCGGCTGAGTCATCAGTAAAACAACCCCGACCATCATGTCAAGGTAGAAGCTTAGGGTGGGCTTAATGAAGATCCCTATTAGAAAACAATATTATTCTAATTTACACAACGAGAACATTAAATGTAGTAAATTAAAAGATAATTCTAAAGTTTTACACAAGATTGTTTATAACCCTAACTTCCATAATAATTCAGTAACAAAATGAAAATTTCTAACGCAAAATAATCATAAGCCGTTAGATATTTACCTCTTTCGAAATAATCTGTTTAGCTGCCTTTGAACAGACTTCAAAATAGTTGATTTGATTTGTACAACTATTGTCTGATGCACTAACATTATTGCTATTATTGTTGCGTATGCAGAATTGTTCTTGTCGTTGCCTATTAGCATTCTCCATAGATGAATCATTCACTTTTGCTATTGTTAATTCATCTTGATCACAAACTGATTGTGATTGGTTGGAACGAGTCAAAGATACTTTCTTATAACAAGAATTATGAATACGGTTAAATTGATGAAAATATAAGAACATTCAACATTAACGTAGATTGATCAATCGAAATTTTTTCAGTCAAAATAGTTTCTTAAGGTTCATGAATAAAAATTTATCTTACAGTATATAAATAACGAAATAATTTCTAATAAATGCTGTAGAGACAAATTTGTTTACTTCACTATGCACAGGATATATAACTAAAAGTAGGTTGCGCTAACAAGTGTCAAGCAGCATAAAACCTAGGTCTAGAGTATCCTACCGACTACTGATTGATATCAAAAGGTAGTGAACATGATGTCGAGTGACTTGACCTAGTGCTTAAATTGCAATTTGATTGATAGAATTCGACCAGCACGCAAGACCAGACAAATATGACATTGGTCGCTAGTCACTGATCAATATGAAATCTCTGTAAGTAAACAGTTCAAAGAAGAATACTATGAAAACTAGATCATATCTGCGAGTAGCAATTTTATTCATTCATTTCTACAAGAAAGCAAACATTCTCATTTAGATATTTAGCAAACACCGAATACACATAAGACATATTTCTGTCCAATAAGTCTTACGATGGCTCAACACTGTTATACATAAATAACAGAAAAACACACCAGTCAAGTGGTGAAGTGTCATACAGTAATTTTACAAATTCCAATGCATATGAACATGACTGTGAATAATAACAGAATAATTAGAAGATGGAATGGACTAATTGATTGGTATTCTACGGTATCAATTAATAAATAAACAAATTGGGATGTGATTTAGGGACTGATAGTTGGAGAATCTAAGTCTATTACAGAGCTGTGAATAAATTTGTAGCAAGTTAGCGTTGGATTTGTGTAGTTTTACCGCCACACATTGTAGAATATCGCTTATCGTACTGTTATTTTATTATATTTAACTTTCAACAAAACTTTTCTCATCCCATTTCGTCCGATTAAATGACCAGTTCTAAATTAGTAATAATTGGTTAGCCATTTTTGAAAATTAAAACCGTGCAACCTCTGCTGATTTCGAAGCAGCTTCATTCAATGTTGTACACTTCGTTTATCTATTTTATGAGAAGCACCTGAGTTCGCAAGACGTTTTTAACATGAACCACAAAGTTTTCGCTGGCCAACCCCCAAAATATGTAATGTACCCATTTATATTGTAAATGGTAGGTTATTACGTCAAATTAAAAGCTCACACCATGTCACTTGGTGGGTTTTGTGAGAATGAAATTGATGACGAAAACGATTTTCGGTATTTTTTCTTCGCAGTTGCCGATTAGATGAATTTGACATGTTGTCTTCTTGATGTTGTTGGTTTTGACAGGACCTACAAAACTAATAACGAAAATTTATTTTCAGATCGAAATGTTGCGTTATGAATGTTGCTCTGCTGTCACGATTTCTATTATTCTTCAGGCGCTCAACTAACAACCGACATTTGATTGGTATTGTTACGGATGACTCGCCGGCGATAGCTGCTGCCATAACAGAAGTTTATCCGAACTCGCACCGCATTTTATGTCGTTTACACTATATTCGCGGCGTTATAAAGAGGGTAAGTTACTAATTGAATGCGATTAACCTTAAATTGTAATTGTAGAGGCTGCAATCTGAACTCTTGCAACTATTCTTCCGTCTGATGTTCACTCGGAACGTGGACAGGTAAATAAAAATATTCAGACCTTAGAGTTTTATGTACTTTCCAAAGCTATCTTTCAGTTATTGAAGTGCCAGGCGGGATTTTTACCGATATATACGAGATTATTTGTTGCCTAAGAAACACAAATGGTTTAATGCGTTTCGATTGGCTGAGACACTTATAGAACCAAATAATACTATCTTCGCTGAAACAACGCATAGAATTTTAAAGCTGCACAAACTGACAAGAAAAACACCCGTGCTGAGATCCATCTTCAATGTGCTTCTCAAGACTGGAGATTGAATGGAAGCGCGAGTTCAGAGATACACATCAGAATGTCACAAGACAATTATTGGTCGGATGCCCCGAATACGTCGTCTCACGTTTTGTATTTTGTACGTTATTTACGTTCATATTTTGCAGAAAAGGTGGTCAGCCGAGAGATATTTACCTGTTATATCAATTTTCAGAAATAACTAACCAATTATTACCAGTTTAAAACTGGTCGTTTAATTGGATGAAACAGAATGAGATTTTTATTAAGAAGCAAATATAATAAAATAACCGTGCGATAAGTGGTATTCATCATATTGTAGATGAGATACAATTATCACTGTCCCCCTCCCAATCGAAATGAATCAGAAGAGAATACGGTTCAAATATGAGGTGCATTAGATATTTCATTGCTTCCATTCATCCTAAATAATTCACCTCAAGATAAAGAAAACCGTCAGAATATATGAATGTTTTTAATAATTTCCCCGTGCTACTTTATTACTAACAATGTATGCACATACTTAGAGCTATATTGAATCTAATCGTTCAACTGGTTTAGTACAATCGTAAAATAGACAAACTGTGAATCAAAGAACCACAAACAAATTTCTACTCACTTTTAAAATTTTTCAACTGTTAAAAATGAGCAAGAATAGTATGATTAATAGTCATAAGTCAAAAACTAGATAGACAATAGTTGCATCAGTATAACGAATGCTAATCATCTTTACCGTTGTATATTACCCAAAGACGTTCACTTGGTTAAGATAAACAGTGATCCATCTTTGGTGACATCACACAGTCTCTTCCAGAGACTGTACCGTATTCTAATTGATATTCGGTAAACATTAAAACACGAAATTAACCTACAAGTTCAATGACATTATCATACCTCAAAAGTCAAGAAGTAGAAAATACTACCATATTGCATTAATTATCATCATGGTCAAAGTATCATGTAATACTTACTCTTTGAAGTCCAGTGAACTTTATCAGTGAACTAGGGGGTTTGGGTCTAGGTACAGGAGCCGCTGTATGTGGTGTTGTACAACTAATAGGTGCAGTAGTCTGAGAAATATCTGTCAAATGCTGAACAGTATTCTGTTCGGTTGTAATCTGATTATTGAAACCTGAAAAGTGAACCGATACGCAGTAGTTATGAATAAAAAATACTAATCGTTGGTATATTAAGATAATAATTACGATTCAGTTATGAATAAAAGCGACAGTAGTATATTAAATAAATAAAAATCCACATAGATAATGAAACTAACTGTATTTGAAACTATCCAGAGCTATCATGTTAATTGTAATTCGAGGAAGAAATCTAAAAGTTCCTTCTAAGGAACGTAATATCATTTTGCAAATACACAAACTCAATACCATTTTTCTTAAAGTTATACAGACTTTCCGTTGGGGCCGAAAGAAAACATGTTTTCGTATATTCATAGACGATCAAATACGCATCATAGATTCATAAGACATTTACCTTATCCAAACGAAAATAACTAATCCCCAAATTTTAAGACTAATTACAAGTTAGCAATGCCTATCCTATTATAACACCAATACCGTTGGCGAAAGTTCAAACACAATTGTAAATGTTAAACCTTTAGAAGTTGGTTAAAAAAAAGATTGACATCATCACATAAACTGAAATTCATTTTTAAATAAACGGAATATACCCCTTAAGACATAAAATAAGATAGGTTCAGCGAAGAGTTCCCTTTTCGGTGAATTCGTTTTCAGAGCTGAATGATAGTTTTATTATTTGTGACAACAAATCTGATTTGAATTATCTTCTAAAGACATTTAATAACTGTCACCCAGCAATAAATTTCAAACTTAAATTTGAAAACAAACAAAGTACTCACTTCCTTCATGTTGAAATGACAAGCGGACACGACGGAGCTCTAAGATCAATCTACAGGAAACCCTTGTGGAATGACCAATTATCAAATTTCCACAGCTGGGTCCCCATTAGTCAAGAGCGAAACTTAATCATATAACTCGATGGGCGAATACGAAGAATTTGCAGTCCCGAGATCGTAGACAGCGAACTAAACCTTCTCCTTGAGAAAATAATTATCGAAAACGGGTAGCCTACGGTACTTATTGGCAATAAAAAGCCACCATGGTCTTAATCTCTCATAATTTTCTTTATTCTTGATACCTTTCATCCTTCACAGACATCTGCTTCCCTTTCTATCCTCTCTATAGATCTCTTAACCCAACTGCTTTTTTTGTTTCTATGATCCTACTGATTACAGATTATCTTAATTCTAACATTTTAGCTTATCATAATAAACCTTTCATTTCCAAATATAGTTTCCCCATTTATCTTCATGATGAATATTCAAGTCCTTAACAATAAAACTATTATTAGTTTCCCTGATAAAAATAAAGTTTTAATAGCTTCGTTTATTCTACCTCACTGTTACTGTGATGAACGAGACCAGTGAAGACAACCAAATGTATTTGAATACATTACAGAATATATTGGTAAAATCTGATAACCATAAAGTAAATACTTCATTTTCAATCGTCTCAGACTTGATTGTTGCTTCGTTTCCACACCAACCACTTCCTGTTCTTGTTCTCTTCTCTTTAATCTTCTTAACCTTCTGCCGCCATGCATTTCACTTTCGACTGGTGCTACATACTACTTATATCTGTCGACATCAGTAGCACACATCACCATGTTTAACAGAATTTTATTATCACTATTATTGTAACTATTATCACGCTAAAAAATAAGTCTATATGAGATTGTACAGTTTTGAAGATGAATTCGCCGAAAAGAGAACTCTTCGCCGAACCAACCTTCCTTATTTGATGAAATTCATTTACTTGTAAAAGTTTGGGGAATTTTCGATGGTAAACTAAAGTGATGCAATGGATTGAGTAAAAGTACCGGTTTAATAATCATAACTTATGCTTATGTGAAAACGATTAATTCACCATAACAAACCCAACTAATATTAGCCCATTAAACAGGTGAGCCTTGTTGTGACTTGATGAGCCGCTTGTTATCACTTAATCTATTCGCCAATCAAAATACGACTTATTCGCTCTTATACTGTACTAAACCAATGATGTTCGATATGAGCAGCCTAGCGTCCTTATTGGTCCTATGTCCGCCTAGCCCGTCCAGCTGAGTCCAGAATGCCAATAACAGCTTCCACTATGGGAATAATTTATTTCAAACATACTGTGTTTATATATCAAACAAACAGACCGCAATGCACCATAAAATAGGAAATAACATTCATACACAATAAAGCCAAAAAGTGGCTGTGAACGTGGGAGGCAGTAGTTAATAAACTGAACACAGCTTAAGAACAGTAAATCGTACAATAATATATAGGTCAAAATAAAGCTTATAACAAGGGGAATATAGATATACATAGTCTAGTTACTGAATATTTATACCATAAGAATATATAAATAATATTAGTCCGTTAATAGGTCTCAGACGTTACTCATAGTGTAATCTTCACTAGGATATAACAACCCTGATCAATCAATATTTATACCGCCAGGTTAAACTGTTATGGATAAAATCTGATTGAAGATAAGTAATAACTTCATTTAAATTATTATTTGATACCGAAATGTTGAATAACACATACATTGTACATAGCATACGTTATGAACTGGTTATCAGCTGTGAAGCTACTGGATACCAAGGAGAACTTAACAGCTGTTTCGTCCTAGTACGGTATTCCTCTTCAGTGCTACCACATGACACCCAAGGACTGAATTAAGGATCTTGAATTTTTATGGCGACTACTGTAATTAGCAATACCTGCTTCATTGGCAGTATGATTGAACATATTACGGAATAGCATGCATATCAATTTTGTAAGTTTAAATCAAAATGATCATTCCAAGGTAAAGAACACTAGACTCCCAACTCACAAGATTTTGCGACATAAACAGCTCACTACAAACCGATACATAAGTTATGTCAATAAAAATGTAAACTAAGTAAGGCTGAAAATCCTGATCATTCATCGGAAACATTGTATCACCACCAAAACCAAGTACAGTCATCATTATCACGTCATGCTACTTCCAAACCGACCTGTTTAGTGCGATGAGACCTCGAAAAACAAGTATTTCAAGCAATATGACTTGATTAGGTTAGTACAATATGCAAGTATGACCACCTTATTAAAGTAACAACTACGTTAGAGAATTATAAGGCAAAAATTGGTAAATATGATATTCTTAATGCGTTTCTAACAGCAAAGGTTTTCTACAAGATGTTTACGTTGAATACTGTTTCTTCATGAAATATATATATATATATATATATATATATATATATATATATATATATATATATATATATATATATATATATAATAGAAATGTCTGGATAAAGATCTCTATGTAATAAAAACAAACATACTTCTTGATAGATGTTTAGCTAATTTTAAAATCTCTAATAAAGATTGTTTGGTATCTTGACTATTTGGAAATTCAGGAATTTCATCCGGCACAATAACTCTTCCTTCATCAATATAAACATAACAGACGTTTGTCTATTTAAGGATTGAAACAAAGAAAAGGTTAAAAAAGAATACACGGTGGTATGTTTTTATCTTTAAATAAATATTAGTGAATAAGAGTAGAAAAGTACCTGGGCTGCAAATGCTTAATCATATGTCTTCGAAATACGGCTCACATATTGTGGACTAACGAGTGAACAATGTTGAGGTTAGATGTATGGAACTAAGTAAAGATGACAACTCACTTTATGAGATTGTAAATCTTCAATGATTGTATTTGGGAGCATGTGTTACGCGTCCCTAGTCACCCACTAACTTGACACACAACAGAGACTGGGGTAGGAGCATGAAATACAGTTACTGCAGTAAAACCAAGAATTGAAATCAGCCCACGAAATCATTGGATGCTGGTATGAACCATGTTGGTAGACGTACTCCACCTGGTTGCAATCAGTCCAATAACCGTGACAAGTAGTCGGGTACATTGAGTGACATGACAGAAATCCATTTATTTATTATCCTTCCTCAAATCTTGATTCTTAACCCGTCTTTATAAATACCTTATTTTCGAACAATTTCTTATATTTAGACTTTCTTAGTACTGTTGATACCATAATTTCGATCCCAACATTCCTTTAATAGCATAATGTAGAAAGCTTCGTAAATTAATAAAACAAAACTGTACAAAATATTTAAAAGGTTAAGAAAAAAGTACACAAATCACGTATATAACAATAAAAACGAAAAAAGCATAGAAATTCTACATACTTCACTAGCTAACTCAACCGAAGGGGAGTAGAAATATTCTTGTGTATGATTATCTGAAACGTATTGTTTAATAAATGGATATTTCTCATTATGATTATTATTATTATAACATGGATCTGGTATGTTAATACCCATGATAAATGGAACAGGAGCATCGACAAAATGAGTTAATGATACTGGTAGTATTGGAGCATATACATGTAGCCAATAAAATGGTAATAACAAACAAGTAACACATTCAGCAATCAACATAAGACGATAATACACTAAGAAAAATTACGGAAAAAAATAGATTATATGTAAGTGAAAGGAATATAAAACACAGCTGTCTAACTCATCAGTAAAACATTTATTACTATCAGAAATAAGAGAAAGCCGATTGGACTGCACATACACTACGTTAAATACTAATCGATATTTCAATAGTTGAGATCATGAGTCAACTGAAACTAGACCACCATGGAAAACCTGGAAGCACTAGACGGCCGTTTCGTCCCAGTATGGGACTCCTCAGCAGTGCGCATCCACGATCCCGCCTCGTGGGATATCGAACCCAGGACCTACTGGTCTCACGCGCGAGCACTTAACCACTAGACCACTGAGCCGGCATCCAACGGTGTTAATGTCTAACTTCAACTAATCCACGAAATTGAGCGACACATTCACCATTGTCATCAGTGAGTTACTATCTCACAACTGACCCAGTTGAACTCCACTAATCACTGCTTCTCACTAGAACTCCAGGATATACATCTTGAAGCCAGTCACTAGTGAGCACAATAGAACGAAACGGACGTCCAGTGCTTCCAGGTTTCCCATGGTGGTCTAGCTTCAATTGACGCATGATCTCAACAATTGAAATTACTAAAATCTCCACTGATCGATATATTGGATGAAATGAAAAGAGAAATTGATTGACTCATAAAAGAACTATTACCGGATAAACGATCGAATGTTCAATCAGTTGAAATCTTAGATAAGTCAAGAAAAACACTAAACCAAAGGCAAATGATTTAACCAATAGTGTGGTGACACGAATATCCAAGAATGAGTAACTTTTGGGAATAATCTACAGGTTATTAATACATAAATTCTTGTTGTATAACTATTAGATAACTGTGTTAATAGATTTTTATGCTTCCCTTATTGTAAGCTACCAATGGACTCATTAACCATTGTTGTACAAGTTCTGCTATCCCATAATGATGGTTGATGAATTATTTACCTTTTTTCTTCGTTCTCTTCTATTTTTAAAGCAGTTATGCCTACATTGTAATCACATATTCATGCAGGTGCTATGTCAGGAAACTAATCAATGTTCTGGTATGGGTTCATTCACATAATATGTACAACTGCAACACTGACTGATATGATCTATCATCGGACTCAAGATTATGGGTAGAAGGCATACATATCAGTCAACGAATAGGAGTTAAGATTTTCTCAACCTCGATGTGAATCGTTCAGTCAGGGTATAGTAATGGTCAGAGCTGAGAACGTTAGGTGATAGCCAAAATAGTATACGCGCGGTAAAGAAATATTACAGGGTTCTTATTGACGAGTATTCTCTAGATATCGATTAACAATTAAAGTGATAATATGAGTTTCTGGATAAGCAAAATCTGAGGCTAAAGACGAAACAATTTTACATACTAATAATTACAAAACATCTTAACTATGTTAATGAGCCGTTGAACTTATTTCTTATTTCACCATTTTAGAAATGAATGTCTTCATTAAGAAACAATTATTTTTTCCCGATATGAATCGGACGAACTTTAAACATTGGCGCCAAATTTCGCTATGAAATTCCTGAATGCCTTTTACGAATAATTAGTTTGAATAACGTTCGCCTGAGGATAGTCGACGGTTTGATTCATTCAAAAAGTTTGTTCATAACTGAAATCACGAACCGATCTAAGCTAGTCAAGGACCGAAAACCTGGAAGCACTGGATGCCCTTCTCGTCCTGTTACGGGGATCCTCACCAGTGAGCACCTATGATCCTGCAAACGAGTCCTTAACCTCTAGACCACTGAGCCGGTAGCCAACGATGTTAACGCCTAACCTTAACCAATCCATATCCTACGACAACTCCACCTTAAGATGAGGATCTTAGAGTTCTAGTGAGAAGCCGTGACCAGTATAGTACAACTTGGTGGAGTGTGGGACAGTTACCTACCGCAGACAATGAAAGGTGGTCATGCAACATCACGGATTGACTGAAGTTAGACATTACACCGTTGGATGCCGGTTGAGTGGTCTAGAGGTCAAGTGGTCACACGCGAGACCGAAGGTCCTAAGTACGATTCCCGCGTGCAGGGTCGTGGACGTGCACTGTTGAGGAATCCCATACTGGGACGAAAGGGGTGTTCAATACTTCCAGGTTTTCAATCTTCATCTAGCTAAGACCACCTCGTGATTTCAACTGTTAAAATACTATAATCTTCACAAATCCTCCATATCAATAACATTCGGTAAGTGTCACAATAATTATACTCTATCGATATTTTCATATAAGTACCCTCCTATCACGTACACACGAACAGATGCAGATGAAGACAGCCAGTGTAGCAGCAGTCTCTGCATCAGTAGGCCTCAACATACACAAATGGAAAACTAAGGTCCTCAAATTCAAAGCGGAGAACAGCAATCCAATCACTTTTGATGGCGAAACTCTGGAAGATGTAGAGTCCTTCACATACCTAGGAAGCATCATCGATGAACAAGGAGGTTCAGATGCAGACGTAAAGGCGAGGATCGGCAAAGCAAAGGTCGCATTCCTACAATTGAAGAACATATGGGACTCAAAACAACTTTCAACCAATATCAAAGTGAGAATCTTCAACACCAATGTCAAGGTAGTTCTACTGTATGGAGCTGAAACTTGGAGAACTACAACAACCACAATCAAGAAAGTACAAGTATTTATAAATAGCTGTCTACGCAAGATACTCAACATCCATTGTCTGGATACCATCAGCAATAGCCTTCTGTGGGAGAGAACAAACCAACTTCCAGCTGAAGAAATTAGGAAAAGACGATGGAAATGGATAGGACATACATTACGCAAATCGTCAAACTGCATCACGAGGCAAACCCTAACTTGGAATCCTGAAGGGAAACGAAAAAGAGGAAGGCCAAAGAACACATTGCGTCGGATAATAGAAGCAGATATGAAAACGATGAATTACAACTGGACGGAGCTAGAAAGGATTGCCCAGGACAGGGTTGGATGGAGAATGCTGGTGAGCGGCCTATGCTCCTTCACGAGGAGTAACAGGCGTAAGTAAGTAAGTACCAAACGAAAACAACAAGTTACTAGCCATACACACGTTCGTGATATTAACTCAAGATGTTAATAGTGTGAACTGATAAAGGTAATACATGAATACTTAATTCCACTTACAGTGAATATTGTATTTATACACACATGATTGATATGACCTCTAGTTTAATTACAATAGATTATATATGCAAAAACTTAGCCATCAATAATAGCACACCATACACTGAAACCAGTTTTTTAAGTCGTTAAATGAAATAATAATCTTAGTAAGCAAGGAGCTAAAAAGTTCATTTATTGTCTTACTTTACCTTTTGAGAATAAAATTATACGATACTCAAGAAGCGTACACGTGAATAAACGAATAAAATCATCCAAATCAATCAATTCAAATAATTCTTCAAGAGAATATTCAAATAATGATAATTCTACATGGTATTTTTGGTTTAGTTGTCCATTCATTAAATTTGCTATAGGTGATATGGGTGCTGAATATACAAAAAATGAGAAAAGAAATAACAAGGAAAAAAGCAAACAAAGCTGATGTTAATATTGGTCACTTAAAATAACATTATTAAAAAGGTCAAAAACAGTGTTGAATCCCATTGAAATTATTATGGATTTATAAATGATAAATGGAATTTTCATTAAGGTCAACATGGTTGGATTATGGATAATGGGAGCAACTGTGCTGTCGAGACTGGTAACTAGTTGATTCCCCTTTAAGCCTAACCGGACTAATAACATTGTCACCCTGAGCATAACGCCAATATCTCTACACATATTGCTCTATGAGCTTCTTCAGAACTTTGTGCACTCATTCATATATATATATATATATATATATATATATATATATATATATATATACATCAATGGTACCGATACAGGAATTACCCGACCGTTACTTCTGCCTTGACGTGGTTGTCAGACTTACCTATCGTAATGAACCAACTGAGCCATACTGGTTGGAACAATCGTTCCTCAAGTTCCCACCATGTCAGACACGTCGGTTGAAGAGCGCTAAGACTAAAAGCAGCAAACTCAAGGTCCGAAGGCGAAGTCGTACTGCTGACTGTACAGAGGTGTGACAGCAGTTAGGTGTTTCCTTCAGACAACCAGCATGACAGCGATGCTGTCTTCTCACAAAGAGAGGTGGGATCAGAAAAGGTCGACCCCAAAAATGCACATCTCGCCTTATCCCACGGATATCCGTCCCCGGCGACAAGGTCCCAGCAAGTACGCCGTGTGTGATCGGCCTCAAGCAGTTGTCCCTTGGCCACTGCGATCACGCTTTCTGGTCTCTAAGACCACCTCTAATCCAATTTCCTTTTCAGATACCTCCAGAAGAACCCTTGACGGTGTGGGCAGCCAGGAAGTGATAACCGCCCTCATACCTCTAACAGCACTCAAGACCACTGTATTCATAATCAACCTCTCTCTTCAATTTCCATTATTCCTCCTACATCGACTCTCAACTCTAAACTTCCTCTTTCGGCTTCCTCCTCAAACGTCACCATGTCCAACGATTCAAGTGCGCAAAACACTGTCCCACGTCTACTGAAACCTCGATCCAAACTACACATTGGAGCCTTCAACGCACATACTCTGTGTCAAATCGGTCAGCAGGCTTCCTTAGCTAAAACCCTAGAATATTGTACCATTGATGTGTGCTGTGTCTCCGAAACACGCATACAGGATCGTAGTGTGATCGTTCACTTGACCTCACCTCAGCAAAACGGAGAGCCAACGAGATACACCATCCGTGTATCTGGTGACCCGATGGCTAGTTCTCATGGACTGGAGGGTATAAGCATAGCACTGAGTACGAGGGCAAAACAAGCACTGTTAAAATGGACCCCCGTTAACAGTCGCCTATGTGCTGTTCGGCTAGACGGCTGAGTAAGAACTCGGAAGGATAGGGACACACTTCCTTGCCTTTTCGTAGTTTCTGCCTACGCTCCCACTGATTGCAGTTCGGATGAAGTGAAAGATAACTTTTGCAGAAAACTTTCTAAACTTCTTCAAAAAGCACTCTTATCTGCTCTCAGCCAAGACTTTCAGAGAGATGGGTGGAACACTTTAAGGAGCAATTCAGCTGGCCTTCAGCTACTCTACAACTGCCCACAATTCACAAACAGACTGAATGGAATATTGAAGTAGGCCTCCCGATTCTAATTGAAGTCCAAAAAGGCATAACTAATTTGAGACAAGGAAGAGCAGCTGGCCCAGATGGATTGGCTTCAGAGGTCTTTAAGTATGATGGTCCAGTTTTAGCGATTAGGTTGACTAATAATTTAGATAAAATCTGGTAACTGCATGTAGTCTCATCTGACTGGTCGCAATCAGTAATTACCCCCAACATATGAGTCAAAATGATACTATGATAACCATAAATGGATTAGTTTGACTAATATAGCATCTCGAATACTAGCCTCGATAATTATCGGACGCAAGCACGAGAAAATCAAACTGGCTTCAGACCTTATCATGGCAGCGTATACAACATATTCACATTTGTCAGGTTTTATAGCACGGACATGCATATCGGCGTCCGACAATGATATTGTTTCTTGAATTAAAAACAACATTGACTCCGTAGACCGAAAGTTTCTGAGGCAGTGTCTGTCATTGAAAGGCGTACCTCAAAAGTACATAAACCTTGTGAACACTCTTTACTCAAACACTAACAGTCGAGTCAGAACTTATGGCGAACTGTCATCTGCTTTCGCAACCTCAAGTGGTGTCCGTCAAGGCTGTCCACTTTCTCCATTTTTGTTTAACTTCATCATAGACCTATTGATGGAAATAACATTCTCGTCTACTGAATTCTCGGGTATTGATCTCCTTCCAGAAGGTCCACTTATCGACTTAGGATACGCAGATAATATAGTTCTGTTTGGTGAAGACGCTGAGAAAATGCAGTCTTTTGGTAGCACTCAGCAACAATGCCAGGATATTTGGGATGTGTTTCTACCCCTCTAAATGCAAGTAGTTGCTTCAGGACTGGTCTGCATCAGCACCTGAACTAAGGATAGGGAGTGAAGTGGTCGAACGCGTAGACAACGTCACTTATCTTGGAAGTCTGATCAGCCCTAATGGGTTGGTGTCTGACGAAATCTCAGCACGGATTCGAAAAGCTCGTTCGGCTTTTGCCGACTTACGTCACCTATGGCGAAGGCGAGATATCTGTCTATCAATTAAGGGACGGGTATACTGCGCAGCAGTTCGTTTTATTCTACTTTACGGCTGCAAAACGTAGCCACTAAGAATAGAAGATACTCGTATGTTACTAATATTTGATCACAGATGTCTTAGAAATATTGCTCGTATCTGCTGGGATCACCGGGTAAGTAATAGTGAGATTAGACAGACACAGGGTATTAGGGAATGATGGTAAATCAGTTGGAGGTTGTGTATCTTCATCGACTAAAGTGGTTTGGTCACGTGTTACGCATGCCTGAACACCGATTACCACGGCGTGCAATGTTGACTAGTGTCGGAGACGGTTGGGAGAAAGTTAGGGGCGGCCATACCAAAATGTGGTATCAGTCCATAAAGTCATAAACTTCTAGCCTAAGCCATGTTGTAGATGCAGACTACGTGGTTGGGGTCCGTGCGACTATCGTAAACAATTGCTGGAAACTCTGGGTGATATGGCTCAGAATCGATCACAATGGGGTAGGTGTATACACTGCTTGTCTTCCCTTAAATCGTGAGATTAAAATTACTTTATACCATTCTTTCTACCAACTAATTCTTTCTTCCTGTATTATATCCTTAAATACAATCTTTCTTTTATACATTACTACCATTGAAGTAACTAATTCTATGAGTTCGGTGATCATCTTGTTGTGCTAATGAGGCAACTTGGACCGACGCATATATTTTCCTGGTCCTACACTTTAGCTGACAAACTGACAGGAATGACAACTAAAATGTTATCTGTTGTGAGTAGGCTTTATTTAAAAGGCGAAGGCTTTCTAAAAGCATTAAAATATCTGTTTTCAGAGTGGAATCAACATATACTTAGTAAGTTACAATAACAAACACCATGGTACTTGAAGATAATATTTACCTTTATTAGTAATGGTTCCTATTTTACTTGAGGATATCCCTTAGTCATAAAGTGTATGGCTCTCAAATGCCCTGGTACGGGAGTTGAAAAAGCATGATTGCAAACCAATGGTGCACATGGGCTTCAGGATCCTCAGAGAACAAATGGCGTACGAACAAATTATTGGTCGCCGGACACGATGGGACTGCATCTCCTGACGTGGCTCTACTGCCTTGTGGATTAGATCCTTAGGTTGAAGGCTCCGGGTGCGGCCTCTAAAGAAAATCACCTGCTTCGGCATGGGTGCCCGGGAACTATCACAGCCCACATACAAACCAAGTGACTTGTGTAGCGTATATGTATTCGGTGCCCCTTTGTACAAATGTGTTCAAATAAATAGATGGAAGAGCTGGACGCCCCTTTCGTCCTACTATGGGATTGTTTAGAGATCAGGATTTTCGGTATCGCATGCGAGCACTTGACCTCTAAACCACTGAGCTGGTATCTGACGGTGTACATTTTCAACTTTAATCAATGCACGATATTGCACGGCCAACTTCCATCGTCTTCGGTAGGTGACTGCCTCACACCCAACACAGTTGAACGATACTCGTCACAACTTCTCACTGACACTACAATAATTCCCTCTCAAAGCTATCAACTAGTGAGCACGTGATAATCATCAGTATACGGTTGTGGATATTGTTGAGTTTCGATGATCGATTTATGATTTTAATGAAGCTCAACAATCTCCACAACCATATTGGCAAAAAACAATTGTTCAAACGGTTGGAACAGGTTCCTACATCAATGGAACTAAAGAGCATTACAATAATCAAAGTGAAAAACAAATACAGGAAATCATTAACTAACCAGGACAGTAACCATAATGAGTCCTGAATGGAGTGGAAAACGTTACATATTGACCAACAGCAGGAAGTTTAGTTTTAAACAACATATCATGAATACATTGTTCCAAAGTGGACTGAAGGCATTTAGTACTAGGAGAAATATACATCATAGCCCACAAATCCTCCAACCAATTAAACAAACCGAAAATGAACGGATGACGAGACAAAAGACCGATAGCCTGGAAGAAATAAGGAATGGTTGCTAATAAATTATGTCACGCATGTGCAAAATAACTTTTATTACCAAATAACAGGAACTATTGTCTTATTACACTATCCAAAACTACCACTTCTTTGTAAATATATCGAATCCAAAATGATCAAATTGTATCAATGACTGTTGGTGAAATAGATTCGTGGTTGCTAGATAAACTGGGAACCTTACCTAAATCAAAACCATATCGCTATGGAAAATTTATGTTTCAATAGTTCATTATACAGGCATCATTTAGAGATGGATTATTGGTCAAAACATATAGCTTTTAACCACAGATATCCAGGTCCCAACCCAGTCCAATCTCTGGATTGAACAACCGGATAATATTATCAGGCTTTCCAAATATGGCTCAAAGTTGAGTGCAAGAACTCCAAATCGGTCACTGGGTTATAACAAAATAATCATACAACTTAGCATCAAGTATAATATAAGATTTGCTTGTAAATATTGTCTGTAAATACTAAAATAAATACAAGGTAAGTAGATTTACTACACTGACATGAATCAAGTGTACCCAAATCTGAATTAGTTACACGAAAAAAAACTAAAATCAGTCAGTCTGTTACTTAAGGAAGCAGAGCTTCTGGAGTGCAAATGTAAGACTCAAGCTTACCAACCCTCTGATTCCAGATACTGGAAAAAGTAAAGCGCAACAATATTTATATATTAGAGAATATGTCAAAAACATTATATGAATGTACTAAAAGTCACTTAACGGCCACAGAATGTTACTCCGTCGGTTGAAGCTTTAAGTACATAAGTTACCCGAAATGCCCTGGTACGACCGAGGGTGAGGAGAGTCAGCTCCCTCTCGAAATGCTCTCACATGGCCACGCATATGCACCCACTGCCAGGGAAGTCCTACTCACTGCCTTCTCGCACCACGGGTGTTGTTTACGAAATTAAGAGGACAAAAAGCGAATGTCCGGCGCCTTGATCGGGTTGGTGGATGTAGAGGATCCACCTAGGGCATTTGGAAAACCCTGATTTCAAACCAATGGTACATTTGGGCTCCAGGATCCTAGGGGACTAAATAGCGTATGAACCTATTGTTGGCCACAGGCTACCATACGACTGCATCGCCTAACGTTGCTCCACTTGCCTTATGGATTAGACCTCTAGGTTAAAGACTCCGGATGTGGCTCCCTGAGAAAACCTCCTTGTTCGGTTTGGACGCCCGGACAGTATTCTAGCCCTCACACAAATAGGATGACGAAATGTGGCGCATATATATTCAGTGCTTCCTTGTACCAAAATTTATGTGTTTAAATAATAATAATAATAATAAGAGAAGGAAATAAGATCGTACACAACTGATGCCGAATATAAATTCACTCCATTGCACAAGCAAGTGGCTATCAGGACTCAGTAGCTGAGTGGATAACGCGATGGTGTTTGAAGCGAGTGGTACTGGGTTCGAGTCTTGTGAGCATCAACTCTGAGATGCAGGTACATCCAGCTGACGGGTCCCAAATAGGACGAAACGCGCGTCCTGGATTCCACTGCTAGCCACTATCCATCTTTGCTTATGATGCCGAATATATTGACGAAGCCATCAAAGCAATTTTAGCTACAGCAGTCTAAAAGAATAGTCATAGCAAGTCCCTTTGATAGCTATATATATGGTTAAAACTGCAGAAAAATAATGCTAATCACATGACATAAAGACTAAAGACCGTTCACACCACAAAACACCAATCAAAATGCATTTGTTAGCTGGCGTCCAACAAAAATACTTACCTTTGTAGTAAAAAGAGAATCTTTCTGACTCCCAAAGCATTCCGTGATAACCCCTGGGTTAAGTTCTTCCTTTGTAGGCGTTGAGAGTCTACGCGACTGAAGATCTGCAGTGTACATCATTTGCAGTGAACTGACTGCCTCTTTAAAGCCTTCATGTGTAACTAGTTCGCAGAAAAGCAGTGCTAAGCCGTGAACACGAGTACCATCTTCCCTAGTAATTATAAAAGTATGTCTTTGGGGCAAATGGAACCGGTTAAATAATGGGCTACTTTGACCAAATATATTGAGACCTTGGGGCATCGTAACCTATAAAGCGATCAGAATTGAGTTAATAATTTTTAATACCAGTGCAGTGGATTCCTCATCAAAAGGACAACTCGGAGAATATTCAGGAAAGTGTTGAAGGACGCGGCACTTGTAGGGCCGCTCCAGAGGAGGAAGATCAAGATAACCATCACGTTTTTCGCCTGGGAAACACTAGATGCATACTAACCAATAATATATTACCTGAGCTGAAGCTCTCTAGGCCAACACCATAATCCACACCGCAAATATAAAAGTAATCAATTACTTGCTCTGTACAGCACATAGCTAGTGAGTCCTGTAAAAGAAATGAAGTAGCAGATTACCATACAAAAATTACGAGGGGTGCGAGTATGTGTCGCTGATGAGAGCGTAGTTTATGGACGGACCAATAAGACTAGAGATAGTAAGTCGCGGATTTCAGGGCGAAATCTATTCATCCACACGGCCAGATAGCATATTGACATTATAGCTTATGTCAGTCCGTGATGAAGACGCCAAATTTTAATACTTATCCTAATTCCTTACACTGATTTGTGACCCTCTCTAGACTCTAAAAAGTAGGTGAATCTTCTCAAGGTCATATTAATGTCAATCAAAGATCGTCCACAAATTATAACCTCACTGTGGAAAAATGGTCAGCTCTTTTTACTTAAGGGACGTCCTCATGAAAGATTAATTTTCAATGAAGTTCCACTTAAGAATGATATTCCTTATCTCCTCAACCTGTTTAGTCCGGAGAGTCCTCGCAATTCGGACTGTTCCATCAAGGCACATGCCGTACTATTGGTGTAAGGCGCATAGTTCCGAGCATTTGTGCGGAAACTACGATCGTCTGCTTCTTTAAGGCCTGGAGAATCATGAAGTAAACACATTAATTCTGAGATCCATAGTAAGGTACCTACCCTACTATTTCAACCGTTTTACCAAAGTTGGAAGTTCTTCATAAAATTCTGAAATGTTGTACAAAGGTACGAAAACTTCACGTTTTGAGCTAAGTCACAAAATAACGAAGTACGTGTACAAAGGAACAGACTGATATGACGTTCTGAATGAACTTTCAAGTACTTCGCGATACCATGTACCGCAAAATGGAAAAACCTTTATTCACTTACTTTTGAAATCAGAAAATAAACTTTGGAACTTATCAATAATTAAGTGAGACTTCTGGCTGTGGCCAAAGCAGAAATAAAAAAGTAGCACAAAGAGGTGACACGTTACCAAAGTGTAACTATTTGCACTGTCTGACCTAGAAACTCGAGTATTCCTCCTCGTAGACCATAGTCGGATAGCCTTTGGAGTAGGTCAGTCTTAGTAATATGCATAAAAGGTCGATCGACTCATTTAATCATTTTACTTTATTACCATGAAGATCCAATCTCGCTTTGAATGTATTCAAGATGCCTTAGATATTTGTAGTTTGACATCTAGTTTGATATCTAAAGAGCGCTTTTCGAACGGGAAGTTTAGTCCTAACGTGATTTGCACTTATCAAACTTTTGCTGTGTTCTTACGCAACAGAAGTACCCTTTCAGTTCTAAAGAATCTATCCTGAGCTATACGTTCGGTAGATTACTTTTTTTGAGTTTCACCATATTTAATAGTTACCTGTGGTTTTGCCTCAGCTTACTATTCGTTTTTTTGTTTTTCACGTATAGACTAGTTTCAGTTTATATCACTCGTTTTATCCATTTTTGTTCGTTTTCAGTGTGCTTTTTGGTGTTTTTTAAAGGTCTTAGGCTTTTGCAAGCACCTATAACATAGTTTGCTTCCATATAGTCATGAAAAACTCATGCAAACGTCCGGGATGCCGTTTTGCTGTTACAACTGGCATGCAGTGCGACAACTGCAAAGGTTGGTTCCACGAAGCATGCACAGATCTGACAGCAACTGTTTACAACAGACTCATCAAGTCAGACCAAAAGTGTGTATGTGTCACGTGCAGCACGGACGCTGTAGTCTTGCTGAGTAACATCATTGTCCTACTGACAGGTCTTCGGAACAAGTTGTCAGTTAACTTCGATAACGATAGTAAAAAAACCGGTAGACAAACAAGAGCGTGCGACGGATACAAAAATAGGGATCTCGACAGGTATACCATCGATGGAGCATCCATCAACACTAATGATGACGTGTCGAGGCTCAGCACCATCATTACGTCGACGGTATTAGACTAAGCAAACTCGGGTCTCCCAACTCAGGGTCCCTGAACACAACAGTGGTTCCCAAAAACCCTGTGGGTGATTCGGCCCACGTTAAGAGAGCCCAAAAGAACCAGGCATCACCGCCTAAGCCGAGCAACCCAAGTGTTGCTGTACGGAAAATAACTGGTGATTTGTTTGCACAGTCTACCCACAAGACTGTTCGTCCGGTCAATAAAGAGCCCAAGACTCAAAAACGCGCACTGACCTCCAAACAACAAGTTATTAAACCTGAACCCATCGTGAAACCTGGTAAATTAACAACAGTTCGTGGCGATTCTCCCATTATCATGAACCTCGTTGACAATCCTGACCTTCCTCTCAGTCTGCAGGACAAAAATAACAGGATGCTCTGGGGTGAATTGAACAAGAAGCTCAAACTTCCTAGAATACAGCCTTTGATGGTCACCCGGCTCACTCGAGGAAAGGATTCTAAGCATCTAAATCACCCGAGGCTTCTCCGAGTAACACTTAAGAATGCTACCGACGTAGAGGACGTCTTGCAAGCAAGTCACTTGCTGAAATCCGATGGTAACGTAAGAATATTGCCTGACATACCGTACTCTGAGCACAAGATCATACGGAACATCCCTAAAGAATCTCGCGAGAAGTTTTTCCGCGGAAGAAACAATTGTGCAAGGTATACCGGAAAATGCAGATCCTACTCAAACAAATTCTGACATCAGGGAATGGAAATTCATCAAACAGTCCTTGAGGCTCAAACACATACTGACTCAGCATGTGACGAGACTAACCAAGAAGGACGGTGATCTTAGACCCCGTCTAATGAAGATAACCTTCTCATCTTCCCACATGGCGGCTGCAGTTCTGGAAGCATTTCGTGCCAACAGACGTCGATTGCCACCTGGAATCCACATGCACCCGGATAGGCCATACGAAGCTAGGACCAAGCACAAAGGCAGGTTGGAGCTGACCATTCCACTTGTGGACTGTCTAAGTGATTAAAAAAACGTGTAAAGGACAGGGCTTACCACATCGGCAAATCTCATATAGGTGGGCTACCTGTCCATTCACATAAGGCTCATACAGAAAAACAGAAAGAAGCTCACGCGTTCCAAATTGAAAGCATAAACTGCTTATATATGAACGCCGCGAGTCTACCAAAAAAACTGGATGAACTACGTGAGCTTAGCAACTCTAATAAGGCCCATCTGATAGGAATATCTGAAAGCTGGATATCTTCTCAGTTCTCGGACCAAGAGTTAGCATTACCTGGGATGACTTTGTTCCGCAACGACAGAAAAACAGGAATTGGGGGCGGAGTAGTCATATACATAAGCTCTTGCTTGGAGGTGCACCAAGTTCACAACCTCGAGTTTAACAATCTCGGGGAATCCATATGGTGCTCTGTAAGATTGTCTAGTACTTCCAGGTGTCTAGTCGGAGTCATTTACAGGAAGCCAACTGCCGACATCGAGTACGATAGTCGTATGCTGTAAGGACTATCCCGCTCTACTCGTCTCGGTTTCACACACATCCTGATTCTAAGGGACTTTAATCTCCCTAGAGTCAACTTGGCGGAACACACGTATACTGGAGGCGACAACTCAATTGAAGCTCGGTTCTTCAACCTCATCGATGACTTGGGATTGTTCGAAAATGTGAGGTCGGCAACTCGTTGGAGAAACAGTCAGACACCATCGCGCTTAGACTGTGTATTCACAAACGAAGAATTCCTAGTAGACAACCTCTCAATCCTGGCTCCTCTGGGAAAGAGCGATCATGCCGTCACAGCATTCAGTTTTGCCATCAAAACTAAGCTAAGATATCCCAACAATAATTTGCGTTGGAATTTTAAACGGCTGAATGTGCCAGCTCTACATGACTATCCACAACAGGTGGTTTGGGATGTTCACCCACAACTCAAAGTGGACGGTCATTCGGACTTCTTACTGCACACGCTCTTACGTGCTACAAACCATTCAGTTCCTCAAAAGGTTCCCAAAAGCTGAAAGGCACCTACAATATTCAAGAACCGTAATCTTCGCCTGCTAAGCCGCAAAAGGCACAGTTGGGCGGAATACAAACGAACTGATAACCACGGAGCGTATAGGCAATATAAAAATATAAGGAGCATATGCACGAAGGCTATAAGAGAAGACAGGCTTCAGTACCAGACAAAGCTTATGGACAAATTTGCCTCTAACCCTAGAAGCCTATTCCGTTATGCAGCCTCTCTTCATCAAGCCAAAACAGGAGTTTCTCAACGGCTAGGTCTTAACGGTCCGACCGACAACGATGGCGACGCCGCTAACCTTCTGGCGGCACATTACTCTCAAACATTTCAACCGGCTGACATCAACTTTACTGACGACAGTTTCATCTGCGATTCCACAGGACTTTCCGAAGTGAACCTAAGCGCAGACGTGGTGTTCCGGAAATTGCAGCACTTAAGACTAGATACTTCTCCTGGCCCGGATATGGTTCATCCTGCCATACTGAGGGAGGCAGCCTCAATCCTGGCAACGCCGCTTAGCGTGATGTTTTCAGACTCGCTAAGCCGAGGCAAATCACCGGAAAATTCGAAGTTGGCTCACATCACACCAAGTTTCAAAGGAGGTCGACGCAATGAACCTTCAACTTATCGACCGGTGGCTCTTCTGTCATTACCTTCAAAACTCATAGAGTCCCTGATATGGGATGGTTTAAACGACTATCTACTGTCCTTAAGTTTCTTCTCACCCCAACAGCATGGTTTCAGGAAGGGTTACTCTTGTATAACCAACCTGCTGACTGCGATGGACAGATGGACAAGCATCCTCGATCGCAAGAGAAAGGTTGATATCATTTATCTTGATTTCTCAAAAGCTTTTGATAAGGTTGACCACATATGTCTTATCAATAAGTTCAAACGATTGGGTATCAGACCACCTCTAATTGATTGGCTTATTTCATATCTGAAAAATCAACATTTTAAGGTCAGGGGTCCCCCAGGGCTCAGTACTAGGACCTCTTCTCTTCTTGATTTATATAAATTATCTTCCTCAACAGGCAACGCCAGACATTACTTTTTGCCGATGACTTGAAACTTTGGGGAGAGATACGCAACCAAGACGATATACAGGCACTTCAGGAGGATCTGACTCGACTTCAGAGTTGGGCAGACGATAACGGACTTACCTTTACCACTTCAAAGTGTAAAGTAGTCCATCTGCGACATGTCGCAAACTGCAGTTACAACCTAGGAAACTCCTCTCTAGTAGTATCCCAAGTCGAAAAAGATTTAGGAGTCCTGGTGCCACATGATTTAAAGTCTTACGCTAATTGTGACAAAAATGCCTTCCGAGCAAACCTTGCACTGGTAACGTTGAAGCGCATTTTTGGACAGTTTGACGGACGAACTTTCCATACAATCTTCAATAGTTTCATCAGTCCCCATTCAGAGTACGGAAACATGGTACTCCCCCCTCACTCCAAAAGGACAAGGTCACTTTGAAGCGTATCCAACGGCAAGCCACGAAATCAGTTCGAGGACTCAAATCTAAACCTTACGAAGAACGCCTCCATTCACTAGACCTTTACCCATTAGAGTACAGGCGTCTTAGAGGTGATTTATTAATGGCTTATAGTATTCTTAACACTTCTGGACATCCTCTTAAACACCTACTTAAGCTTAGTCCCAATACAAACCTAAGGGGAAACATCCAGAAACTGGAAACACAACATAGCAAGACGGAATGTAGACACAACTTCTACTCCTTAAGAGTTGTCAAAAGCTGGAATTCGCTGCCGGCCGAGCTAGTCCAAGCGACTTCTCAGGAGTCCTTCAATAGGAAACTTGACCTATTCTTAAGGACCAAGGACAGCATCACACTATAATTTACCAATTTCTTTTCCTCTTTTATTGTTAACATACCTAGGTTCCTGCCTGGAGGATTTGGCGATCCCCTGCTACTAGACACGGAAGCCTGTTAAGCGAGAGCTTCTTCTATTCCGTCCACAACCATTTGAACTTTAACCAGTAACAACCTCTATAATTGAATCGTGCCCACTCAGTGGAATCAAACGTTAGAAGCGAGGAGGTTCGAAAATATATTTGATTGGTTATCAATATATCGGAAGTGACTGATCTAGGTTCCTGCCTGGAGG